CTTATGGTAATTGGTTCAGTTTATTCAAAGAATCTTGGTTAAACGCGGGCAGGCTTGTCATTGGTTCCTCTTTCTCTTTTCTTACGTATCATAAAAAATATATTTTTGGAGAATCTTAACCAATCGATCTGTTACTTACTTTGATTGAGTTTAGATACTTGTGCGCTTTATCATCCACAAAAACATACATAGTTAAACACGGGTGTGCCGCAGACTTGTTCTYGGGTTCTTTTCGCTATTTTTACGTATCATTACATATTTTTGTTTTTGGACAATCTTAGTCATTCAGTTACTTACTTTGACTGAGTTAAGGTTCTTAATTGTACGCCTTATCATGCATAGAGCTCCACGAGGCTCTATAGGGCTAGAACTACTGTAAAGTAAATTCAAGAATACATTAATGAAAAAGGGACATTTCTTTCCCTGGAGTTTTTTGCCTGGAAAATCTAATTATCTCAGTTTATATTCTGGCGTTTTCATAACTCGTTCTGATCCTTTTCGAACTGTGTCAAATGCTTCGCATTGGGTAATTTTCCACCTTCTTGAAATGTAAATTCTATCCAACACACATACATAAGTGTACACACGGTCTTCTCTGAAGAAAAGAATGGTCAGTGTCGAAACTCCAACACAACAAAAATTRATAGTAAATTTTACAAAAACGCATTCTTATTTTAAGTATTTTGTATGACAGAACACCTCTACTCGAGTCGACCGACATGAACGTGCTTAATTAAGGTGAAATCGTTGTTTCTTGTACCAGAATTTAGTATATATACAACCCGCAAACTTTAAATACATAATGAAACAGAGTCAAATAAAATAGATCTTAAAATCATTTATTATTGAAAAGATCATTTGAAATTTATAAAACGTTTTGACTTAGATTTCAGGACAACTTGGTTGTTCAAAGTGATTTAAAGTATAGTAATGAAAAAAAACTATTTGAACGTAACAAACTAGTGTGTTAATGTACAATGAGAGTAATTTTTGGACTTCATATCACCAATTTTTTTTTCTTTTCTTTTTCTTTTTTTTTTTCCACTGTCTAGTTAATTAGAATTACAGCATTTCTTAGATTTATCAGGTTTTATATCATATTCGAAAATATGCTTTAGTTTTGTCAACTAAAAGGCGTAGTGCATTTGAAAATTCTACAAGATTTCCTGGGCGTTAAAAAATGCTTTTCGATCAAATAGTCAACTAAAAACTGAAAAATATGCAACCTTTTCATTAACAACAATGATATTCGGTTCGTTTAAATAGACAGGCTTCTCTTCAGTAGACTATAGTGAGTACTTAATTGGAGCGTAGCTTGAAGTAGTGTATCATCCTAATATTGATATTTAGAACAGTTCATAGTGAATAGTAATAGAGGTCAATGATAATGATAATAAAAAATAATTGTAAATATCTTCCATGGTAATTAATATAAACATCAATTCGTTGAAAATCAAGGTGGCGTAGCGGTAGTACACTCACCTCTCACCTCTAGGGTGTTGAATTCGATTCCTGGAATTGGGTTCAATTCCTGGACTTTGGATTGATTCCTGGACTCGGATCCCTGACTTTGATCAGCCCGGAGGTTGTTTCAGGGTTGGATCTGTAAGTTAGCCGAGCCCTGACTTTGATTAGCCCAGAGGTTGTTTCAGGGTTCAATCTGTGAGTTAGCCATGCCCTGACTTTGATCAGCCAAGAGGTTGTTTCAGGGTTGGATCTGTGAGTTAGCCATGCCCTGACTTTGATCAGCCAANTTTGATCAGCCAAGAGGTTGTTTCAGGGTTGGATCTGTGAGTTAGCCATGCCCTGACTTTGATCAGCCAAGAGGTTGTTTCAGGGTTGGATCTGTAAGTTAGCCATGTCCTTGACTTCGATCAGCCCAGAGGTTGTTTCAGGGTTGGATCTGTAAGTCAGCCATGTGCTTGACTTAGATCAGCAAAGAGTTTGTTTCAGGGGTTAATCCCTATGAGTTAGCTTTGTCCTGACTTAAATCAGCCCAGAGGTTGTTTCAGGGTTCATATTATTTTCGCTTAGTTTGTTAGTAAACATTACAATTTATTGGCATATTTAACGCGTCTATTGATTTGATCAAAAGATGTTATTACTTGCATGCCTTCCCGTGAGAAAAAAAGGAAAAAAATCAGTTCAAACTCCACAATCCTACAGGTGTTTATTGTAAGCGTGTTAACGTGTCGACCAAATCTAATACTACTCTTTTATCCATTCTGAAAAGCCTCCCCATAAAATACCTGAAATTATTTGAAACTTATTCAAAATCAAATTGATAGCGAATTGGGATTGGATTTGCCACCATGTCTAAATAAAGTTCACATTACACCATATCAGTCAACAACGCTGTATTGAAATATGAGGACTCTCTTACTAGCAAGCTCGTGAAAATTTTAAGTGTTTATTTGGTCTAAATTAAAGCCCAGCAAAGCAACAGGTGCGGTAGAATGAGGTTGTATTGTATAACGTACTTATGAGTGGTGGTGTTTCTCTATGGAACCTTTTAAGACCGATCCGCCCCACTAACGAATACCTGTAAATATYCATGCCAGGTGCTTCATGTCGATACTGATACTTTTAAACTCTTTTTTATTTTTATTTTATTACTACAATCGTAAATTTGTTAAAGGCTGTAAATAAGATATCTCTATAAGGTATAAATCAATGACGATCAAAGATCAATCAATCATTTTTTCCTTGAAAGGATTTTTTTCCCCTAGCATAATTGTAATGGTCTTTGTTTGGTCGTAGTGATGGTACCTGGTACATGTAATGTGTTTCATAACACCGACGGTCTCTCGTACCTCTAAATACTAGGATATATATTGTTCTAGCTTACAAATCTACTGAGGGGCCGAATTATCAAAATGAAGAAATCACAAAAATCAAGGTCAACGTATCCTTAACTAGGTCAAAAGCATTGTAATTGAAGATGAGTCGTAAACTCGTTATAGAACAATAGGTCAAGAATAGATAAGGTTTGGCGTGGGTTGTTTATTGACAATAATCCATGGGACAGCCCATTACTAAATCGAGATAATAGATAATTAGGGGGTGGTTATTTTATGGCATTTCATTGAGTATAGCCAAAGAATACACACAAAGAAGACAGAGATTTCGGGGCCAATATAGTTAATGGTTCCTCTAGAAATCTAAGTATTAAGAAACAATGGAAAATTACTGGCGCGGGACAGGGGGTATACTTATCTGTAGAAGCACTTTCTCGAGTGATTTAGCGATAAAAAAATACATTTGCTAAATGTATTGGGGGTTGGACAAAGGCTTATCAAGGATAGGTACTGTATGAAAACCTTTCAATAAAGCCAGTTATTAATCCATAGTTCAGTTGAATAAGGTTGGAAATGTTGTTTCTTTATTTAAGCAAAATCTATAACGTGCTCTCGCGATTCCTTGTGAATATTGTTCTAATGGCCACAAAGAACTTGGACGTGGACAAATTTGTAAAGGAACAATATTAACTCAAAAAAAATTTCTTCAAATTCTTAGGTACCAAAGATAGTCATTAATCTTGAAAAGAAACCCAGTAATCTACGAAAGGATAAAATAGAGTTAAATGTACTAATTTTGCGTTTTTTCCTAGAAAAATGATCTAGAAAAATCTAAAAAAAGTTTTAGATTTTTTTCGAGAACTCAAATAACATAACCACATTTAAATAACTTTTCGAGCCTTCGTGTAAAAAGTGATGGCAGAAAATATTAACTTGAAGTTAATAAACGAACTATCAACTCGAGTACAAATAAAGGTTCTTGTAAGGTTGTCAATTAGCTCAGTTCAAAGAAAAGAAAAACGAACTTCAATAGAAAACTCAAATATTGCAAATTTGGTTACTTCCAGCTGATACGGTCATCTTTCYGTAACGATAAAGGAGACCGCGTTGGAATAAAAAATTCCTGATGCATAAAACGTATGATTCGAGGTCAGGAAATATGTACTAGCTTTGTTCTCGTGTAGTGATTGTTTGGCTTTGTTCGTAGGCGGAATCTCGTAAATTCAAGTATCAAATTCTATATTTTTTTCACGTCTTGGCCGACGAGGTGCGTTCGTTTGAAATAAGCACCACTCGTGAATCAATTCTAGTTTGTTTAGCACTTTAAAGTGATACCTGCTTCAGTCGGGAGAATGTCTTTTTTTGCTTATAGAACCAACGGATTTGAATCGACGTTAATTTATTGAGAATTTAGACAAATTTAGTAAAAATAACAGTGTGTTTGATATAAGGGCATCTGAGGGGGCCATCATTCCTCAATCCTTTCTACTGAGATAACCTTAAGAGTAACTCAACGTGAAGCAGTACCTCTCGCTGCGCCAGTACAAAGGAGCAAAGCCAGAGATTGTCATAGATCAGTTATTCAGTAACTGAGAAATTTTCAACATGGGTAACCACTTGCCCTCAAGGCCACATCTTTTGCTATATTAAACCTTCTCAAAGCAAAACAAATCGTTTTTAGCATTTCAAGTACGTTCTAGTAGGACCCCAGCTGATGGGAACATTATTTATTACGGAACGGTTTTATAGTCACCCTGCAATCATTAATGGAGAAAAAATTTGAAACACGAAGAAAAGAAAAATTGGAAAGATCCAAAAAATAGTCGTTAACGCCTGATTATTCTTTTCTTGCACTACTTTGAATTTTCAATCTCGCTCAGCGCGGCTGGCTGTTCTTTTGTCCTCGTAAAGTGTGGCTTCTGGTAATAATGAAAACCTCAAAGTAGGGACGTCTTTTCTTTTCTCAAGTACAGCTCGTTAGCTTTTGCTAAAGGGAGTTTATTTGGTTCGCATCCGAGGGGGTCTCTGGTTTACAAAACGACCGGATCCTTATCTTCCGTCGACTACCGAGGCAATAAAGAAAAATCTCATTCAAAAGCTCAAGAAAACTTCAACATCTAAGACTTACAATAGCAGTGCGAGCCTTGGAGMTTCATTACGAAGTCTTAGTTAATAGAAACATTATGAATAGACTCGGAAAGATTGGGGTTTGTCTGCGTTGTTTCTTTAATATACACATCCATATATACAGATATCTAAGTCGTTTATAACAATGTCCTACACATCCTGAGCTAATCTGCACATTGTACTGCCCACTYCTTTGGTTTTGATTCAAAATCTATCTAATATAGATAACAAATTCACCAATATTGTTAAACTAGGACAACCAGATAGATCCGCTCATTTCCTTAGCCTAGATAGCCTTCAGTGGCACAATTCTCGTTCAAGAACTTTCTATAATATAACATTGATATTTTTATGCATCTCTATTAATTGTTTTAGAGGCAAGATTTCGAGCGCTATGTTTACATTAATGTACGAACTGAATAAAAGTATTATTGCATGAGATATCATCTTGGCCAGGATACCTATCGTCATGAATGTACCTACCTCTATATACTTGTAACTATTTACTCTTGTACTCTTGTAACTTTTTGTATTCGTAGCATTACCTATTTATTGGTTGCTTTAAGTTATTGTACTTAGTTTATCTTGTGGCWCACATGCAGTCAATAATCTAAGATATTTTTAGTGCGATATCCAGTGTGTTTTCCCGGCTAATTATATTTGATTCTTTAAAGCGCGTGTTAAAAAACTTAGAACTAAGTAAGATTTTTCAAAAGTTGAAAACATACTTTCTTTCATATAGTTTTCACACGGTTTATTCATAGTTCCATTCAGTTTTGATCCATTTTTAAGGATGATTAGCGATGCGTATTTGAACCTCTAGTTTAAATTCCAATTAATCCTTGAAGTTCTTCAGGACTAWATCCTAACGTAAGGGTTTATGTGCCCGTGTTTAGAGCTTTCACACAGCGAACACTGTTGACAATTAATATGCTGGTAGTACGGAGGCAGTAAGGGTGGTAGCTGYGGCGAATGCATAAAATGTAGCGGTATGTACGGTGGAAGTGAAGAGATCTTCKGTGCGTCCATCGGGCTGAAGGAGTAGGAAGGAGGTAGCAGYGAACCTCCCATGTACATTGAGTGGAGATCAAAAGGGGTTGTATAYGAGTTGCATCCACTCTCACTCGTCAGTGCTTTAGGGTCCGACGAGTTTCTCTCSGCCTGTCGTTTRAACCTAGTTTTTCTCCTCAGAAAGCTTCCGTTTTCAAACATACTGTAGCTGTCAGGATCCARAGTCCAGTAATTTCCYTTAAGAGGTTCGTCYGACTTGATGCCAGTTTTGATAAAGCAGTCGTTGAGTGACAGGTTATTCCGAATACAAATCTTCCACGATGGGTACGACTCACGGTAAAATGGGAAGCGATCTCGAATAAACTTGCAGATTCCGTCCAGAGTCAGGCGTTTTTCTGTAGAGTTTTGGATTGCCATGGCTATAAGGGCAATGTACGAGTACGGTGGACGTCTGCGGGATTTACGCTGGTTTCTGGAGGATTTCTTGTCGCATCCCGCTTCGGATTGAAAGTCCTCYGCGCTGCGCTCATGGTCATCGTGTTCTCCTTTTCCCTCTCGATGACCTCCTTGACTCGATTGACTCTCCGAGATGTTAATGCGRTYTTGAGGTCTCTGCCCCCGATATCTGGCRTTAATCACGATGTCAGATGAATCTAGGTTGAGSGCATTGTCCTTGAATGAATTCTCCATATCTTYTCGTAACTGATGATACACCACCTTTCGGATGATCGGTCRGTTGAAGTGAGCACTTGAGTCTGGAATGAAGAGTTRATGTTTATACTGCGCCGGCTTGTTTAAATTGARTGTCCTCGTGCGGGCATCAGTTGCGTTCCCTGGTCTGATCTGCGTAAGAAATAAAGCTGTAGTTTATCCTCGTGGCTTTAGAGAGCTTACTCGATGCCGGTAAAAACATGTGTGCTGACAACAATTAACTAGTGGCCCCCAGGTGTAAACAGCCACGAAGCAACTCTCTAATGAGCCCGTCGTTCAATGCTGTGGCAACCCTCCAAATAAAAACAGTCAATACCCTACACTTACCTATTCCCTCTTATGCTCAGCCAAAACGAATCGCTGTTTAAGGAAGCGGTTCGCGTCTTTAGACCGACGGTGACAGTGACAACAAGGCGAATCAGCACCAAGATTTTCGTGTACTAGTTCTTTTCAGACGAATAATTTTTATGGAATGTTGCAGAAAATAACCGAGTTGGACATCCKTTCTTGTCTTGTAAATCTAGACCTGGTATTCGCTAGAGTACTGCTTGTGTTCGCATCGATACTGCTGGTGGTGCTTTATGATTGYAGCTTGAATGATAGCCGAGAGTGCTACTACAAGATTTATCAGTGGTGCTCGTCAAAAGCYAAGCTAAGAGCAACACGTATTGTTCTCTATTCAAAACCGTTTATTAACACCACAGCTCTAGATTTCGAACAATCACTCGATTATGACGAGTTGGGCTTTTGTTCTCGTTAGAGATTCTATTTGTTTTGTCCAATCACTKGACTCCAGCTGGGAGATTGTCGGGCCGTTAGGAAATAAATACAGCGTCCCTACTGTTGACGGAACAGATAAATCGCTCACAAACCAACCAAATCTTGCTGTGATTCTTCAAACATAGCAAGAAAATATTTTTTTTTAACTCCAATTCATGAGCCCCTAAAGTGATATTTTTTTTCTGAAGTGACGTTGACCCAGTGACGTTAAAGCTGTTAGCTGCCAAAGGACGGAACCTGTCTGACTGACTGAGTCCTTAGCAAAAAATGAGTCGCAAATAAACTTCTGGCTTTAAGAAAGATAACCTTGTAATAATTTAGTACTTTATCGAAGCTGGTACATGGAAATTTTTTTACTTAKAGCAGGTAATTGAGTTGTGTCTTTCTGCTTTGCTTGACTTAACTTATTCATTCGAATCTATGAATTTCTTATAACAATTTCTAGATGTTTAATAATGAATCTTCAAAGAGGAAAGAGGGTTTTTTTTTCAAGATTAGATCAAATAAGTTACATCTAGTTTCATAGTTGTTTTTGAAAAGAAAAGGTTTTCTTTGGGCTGGTCCTTATCTCTTTATCTAAGATTCCAATAACCACTGGCATTGTCTTCACATCAACGGCAGAGTGATTATATGTTCTTTTATGCGATGTTAGTGTTTTTTTTCAAGTGGTGTCCCGCTGGGCTCGACAAACCCCTGCTAGAACTAAAACTACGGCAGGTTATGTCGAAGAAAAAATTTCCCTTCGTCGTTCGGCCGAAACTTTTTCCTGTTTACCACAAAGTAAACGTTTTAAAAGCTTAATAAAATCGTTTTACTAGTGTTCTATTGTAYTAGGAGCTTAACAAACTTGTTTCGTAAAGATTGCTTCTTGTGGGATGACAATAGAGAGATCGGGAGGGGCTTGTCCGAGCTTTTGTCACAAATACTAARAGGGCTGAGTATTTATACTCAATTAACAGATCCCTATAAACTTCAAAGCTATTATCAGACAATCACCATAAGACTATCTAGCTGTTATGTTAGTCAAATACCCGATTAAAGACTTCGAAAAGCTTCGAGCTATTGTGATAAAAAAATTCAAATGATCACAACCCGTTTGGGAATTGGATGACTGTAGAATCCAACTCTCCGCTCACAGCGGGCGAAATATCGAGATTTAAAATTTAAATTTTTCTTCTTCGACAAGACAAAATACGTCACAGCTGTTAAACGAATAAACTTAGTTTACGATGATTGTTTGAATTTCTGAAGCAAGACACTCGATAACAAGTCATTAGTTTATTACTGAGGTGGAGTAATTAYCACTGAAAAAATTATTTGACTACTTTTCCGATGCTCACTCTTGGGGCCTGTCGGTAAAACACCTTTATAGAATAGCCCTAGGGCCAATAGGATCGCCTAGTGRGCTAATCATATTGATTCGAACCCCGTGTGATTGTAAACTTGCTTAATTAGGTTTATTTTAACTTATCGGAAGAATAAACATTGTGTAAGCACAGGACGGCCATGCACGAAGCCCGTCAGCTTGCGTAACAGGTACCTTGCTTCATACGTTGAAACATTGTCGCCTTTTATTTTCGATTTTAGGATATAAAAGAGTTGTTTATGAAAGAAAGACATGTGTGTCTCTAGGTAATCGATCCGTAATGACGACACCCTCTCCTACTACGTGTGATGATTCTCTAATTTATCGCGTAAACCGTCAAATCCAAGTGTTAAAAGAATTGATTCGTTTGTTATTAAAAAAGCCTTCAGTTTTAGGATTCGTCGATCATAAATTCTCCTGAAACTACGTAGATTTAAGAATACTGCTTTAGTTGTGTTCGGTATCCGTTCAATTTCAACAAGTACAAGAGCAAAACTGTTCTCTCTTTTCCCATTTWAAAAACTTTATTTTGGGCTTCCTGTGTCATAAATTTTTCCTTAGCAGTTTCTCTTCGCTATGACGTAGATTAAGGAACGTTTGGTTTGGTTTACTTATTGGGCAAAACTGATACCTACGCATCCTTTAGGGATTCCTGTATCATACATATTTCAGTGCTGTGACCTGTTTTTCGTTCAAACCTAACAAATATAAGGGCGATAAAAGACGACTTTGCTTCAGTTAAAAACTTTATTTCAGGCTTCTCAGGCCTGTTCTATAAATTTTCAGCCGCTTTAACCGTTAGATTAGGAACGTATACTTGAATGATGTATATGAGTTTGAGTCTAGCCCTCGTTGGTTCTCTCCTGTGCATTCGAGGGTTTTTTTAGCCTGTGTACAGCTTCTTCCCACCCATCCCGCCTTTGGGGAAAAACGTAGGGGGAGGGGTGGGGAGCGGCTGTACGCAGGCAAGGGTTTTTCTCYGAGYTCTCCGKTTTTTGCTCCCTCCGCAAAGATAAACGTATAAATTCCAATTCGATCCTGGGATGAAGACCATGTTTGTTTGTCACTGGCTCWCAGGTGCTACTCTCGTAAGACAAGGACTATTTCATGATTAATTTAAGATTAGATCAAAACAATACTTTTAGTCTTACGGGACCCGATTTAGAGGGGAGAAGAAGGTTTATGCTACTGACCTTTCAGAAGTCGAATTCTGGATTTTTTTCTCAAATATCTTCAAAAACTTAAAGTCAGATTACATAGATAAATGTGCTATCTGTTTACATGTATGCTACACAACGTATTTGTTGATAGAAATACTCACGACGGTCACCGGTGATCATTTCAATGGCTCTCTGAAGGTGCGGGGGGTATTTACCGGTATCCACCGACCTAAATCAATAAAATCTGGCCTTGTTTCGGACCGTTGTGTTAACCTTCCCCCAAACAATCGGCACTCCATTTTGATTTCACATACAACAACTGGCTCAGTGGAGAAAATAATAGAGAAAAAATACTTCGGAAATGTCATCAAATTGAATTATTCTTTGAACAATTTTTTAAAATTACTGACACTTTAACGAACTATGTTCACCATTTCTTTAATTGAATGATTGTCAGCTACAATTCACAAAAGAAGGACATAATAATTTGATGTAGATAAATGACATTGATGAGTTTACAAGAGATAAATAGTAATTAATTCAATTTCTTGAAAAATGAATAAAATACGGGTTAAAATTCCTACAAGAAGTTTATAAATGACTTTGCGAGAAYTAGAAAACCCTACTCGAGTAATTATCGATATCACTCGTTTAATTAAGCTTACTAAGGCTGGGCACTGCCCTAATAGAGTAAAACGTTTACCTAAGACAATTTTCAAAATGATGAACTCGCTGATCGTAAGGGCTTTTTTTAGGAGTAAACTCCAGATTTAAAAGTGTAGTCACAGTATAACGGTGTGACAAAGATCGCCATCATTCGACTCGCATTGAAGTCTAAAGTGATAAGTCCTGGCCGGTTGACCACCCACTCCGATACCGGGAAGTCCACGCGCGGGTGACATCCCGCGTGTACGATCTTTTCCCCGGTACTSTTGAATAGATTGGTGTTGAGCGGATTAGGATACCTCGAGTCGTATGCCACGTAGACCTTTACAGGTACGTTGACTGTAAACTGGACTCGAGTTGGTTTGTCATTTATGCCCCGGATATGCGTCATCCCGTAGAACCTCGGTGGCACATCGGCCATGGTATAGCAATYTCGATTCGTACTGAACTTTTCTCCTTCTCGTACCGTACTGATCTCCCAACTTGGTCTGGAAACAGTTACTATTAGTTCAGCTTCGGGCTTCACCGCGCGAGAATCCCGCAAGAAAATCCCCGTCATGCGGGAATGTGGGAAATTAACTTGGACGACTCCWGGGCCTTGAGGCGCTACGCTTTCGTAGATAAGGAACGGTGTTCTTGCATGGCATCCCCCGAGCATGATGATATCTCCGGTATTWCGATACCCTGCACCGTGGATATAAGGATAGCGGGAATCAACAGCAAGGTATACTTTCACCGCAACGTTCACTTGTACGCTTATGGTCCCTAGCTTGTCGTTTAGACCACGAAGGTGCRTCATCCCGTGGTATCTTGGAGGGACGTCCTCGTACCTGTAACAATCCCGGTTAGTGGCGTATTTCTCACCATGCCGGACCATTGAAATCTGCAGAGAGCCGTAGCTCGTAACTGAAAGGATGCTCTCTCCTCTGCTAAGCAAAACTGCCTGGAGAAATAGCAGACYAAAYAAGTAACACATTTTTGCAACTCGTRCTAATCTTACAACTTCGCTTTACTCGGCTACTTTGACACTGAATGAAGAAAAGCCAAATATGCGCTTGTTTTATACACGCGAATAGGAACGTTRACACGTAATCTTCCAAAAATAACTCAACTTTGCATCGTTTCGTTTTAATCTAACCTGAAGTGTCTTGATTTTTACACGTAATAACTTGTTCCTCTAGAGTAGCTCTTGACCCATTTGAACCCGAATACGTGAGCAAGCGAACGCTGCAATAATTGCTAAAATGGATTTCCTGTTTAAGTAAGTTCCGCAATCTTGGTTACACTTACTGTTACTCCTAGAAGTAATGCATTCTTCATTGAATGATCATACTACCAGGTCCCTCTACTCGGTGATTTTCAATAGCAGCTGAATTAGATGTTTATACAATTTAATTATCAAGCAAACACAAAGTGGCATAAGTGCCATTAATCTAACCTAGGGATACGATAACCTGTTTACGTAAGCTACGCATTCTTGTTTACGCGTACTGTTACTCCCAGCTACCAAAAGGGAAAAAATGCATGACCCTATCTTACTCTCTTAAAAGTAAGCAAACTCGCAAGGCAATTCAAAGTAGCATTAGTGCCGTCTCATTATTATGACCTAGGGATACGATTCTCGAGTGGTTTTCATTCTTGCTAGTAAGAGGATTTTTACTCTGGTTAAAATCTTCTTTCAGGGTAACGATTGGCAGTTTAACTTTTACTTTATATTACGTCGATCACGCAAGTATTAAGACCCCGTCCAAACTAATGCTTTTTTTGTTTGAAAACGCAGACATTTCGATGCGTTTTGGCCTTCCGTCCTCACTTAAACGATGAGCGTATTCATCGAAAACGCATCGATTAGAAAACGTCCAAATTGGAGCCAAATGAAAACGAATACACATCGTTTTGGTGTGGACGRTCGAAAACGGAGCCTTTTGAAAACGATGACGTCAATAGCATCGCGTGATCTCTTTTCCAGGCCTCCCTAGTTTCAAAACAAATGATATGGCCGATGAAACATTTTTATGTTGTTGACTTGTTTAATCGCTTGTTCGGAATTGCTCTGTTCAACCTTCTGTTGGCAACACATAAAAGAAGAAATTCCATTCTAAGGGAACTAGTATTTTCGAATACTTCCAACGTAACACTCGGGCAACTAAGCCGTATCAAAGGTCGAGAAGATTTTGGATCCGACTATTGTAGGTCGAACCAGCGCGTGGTGGGACAAACACCGAGGGCGCTGTTCTACCGGTTATGCGCAGATTGATGCATTATGTCACAAAGAAACATGTGTGCCTTTTCCCGAGCGTTTTAGTGTGGACAGTCGAAAACGATATGAAAACGCTAGTGTGGACGCAAAGCAATCGATGCGTTTTCGGTAAGACAAAAACGGAGCCTTTCGAAAACGCATTAGTGTGGACGGGGYCTAATTTATTTGGAGTCATAATGCATGACTATTGCAATATTCACGCAATCTTTGATTTAAGACTGGGCCGTGATAAAAGCGTGATGGCTTGCCCGACAGGAAATCCGTTTAGTCTTTGATTTCGTGACTCTGAAACAGCTTCCGGTCACGTCGTTAGACAATTTAAGAACTCGACAATAATACGTATAAATCATCAATTCTAACTTTAAAATGATTCTAAAAGGCCGAAAATTGTAGAGCGTTTTATGTCCTTAAAACTGGAATTCACTACCATCATCAATAAGAAATGTTTCCATTCTCTCCTCCCCCAAATCAGAACTTAAAACTTATCTTTTTAAACTAGCGTTCATAACTTTATCATTATTGTTATTATTATAGTACTCATCGTGATTTGTAATAATAATAATAATAATAATGATAATATAATATAGAATCTCTTTATTTACAATATATATAATAATAAATATAACGATAATATTAATAAATATAATGATAATAATAATAATAATAATAACTTTATTTATTCTGCAGAAGTGAGTCAGCGTACATAAAAATTGTACACCATTACTCATGTGCGTCATGGGATATAGGCGATGATTCTCGTCAAGAAAACGGAAGAAAACGTGTTGAGGTATCCAGTGTTGTTTGTAGTCGACGACACCTTGTTAAARACCTCGATTATTTTCTTTACATGTATACCCACAATTCCTTTCCGTCTTGGAATGACCTACCGCCTATCCGACTTCTTTGCCTCCAACAACCTGTATTGAAATAGGTGTACGCATATTTGTTGTCAGTATAAACGTATTCGCTAGCTGAAATTTAAGCAGAATAGTTGGTTTGTGCGCAACAGGCTCCCTCACTCACTTGTATTTTTTTTAAAAGGTTATCTCTATTTCTTTCTTCAATATTCCTGTAATCTTGTACTATATCATTAGTAAGACTATCGTAATTTGCTCCTGGAAAAAACAAACTCATCATCCCTTATCACCACCGCAAGTACAGCAGTGACGCAGCTCAACGGGGTCGAACTRAAAGCATGTGAAGGCGCCTCTGGCAACCGCTATACAGTCCATGTATGACCCCGGAGCACATCTCTAACCACTTTTAATAAGTTAGGGGAAAGTTAGGGTTGATTTGAGAGGAGCGAGATAAAACAAGAGGACCATAAAAACCCTCGGAGTCCGAAAAAGAACCAACCAACTCGGCTCACATTGAGTGACTGGGATATATTGATATTATTTCCTCCAATTCTCATTCCTATGACTTCACTATCTTTTTCTCTATTTATTTTCCTCACTTATTTCTTCAATATTCCTATACTCTTGTACTACATCGTTATACGAAGAACTGCTCKTTTAGTAATTCGATCCTATTTTTCCCCACTTCCCTACATCTTTCTTCTATATTCCTATAATCTTGTGCAGTATTTTCAAAAAGCAGGTTTCATTCCCTCAGAACGTTCGTAATTCGTTGCAATATTACCTTTAATTTTTGTCACGACTTTAATTTTTTGGATAGCTATCTTATTATTTCCATAATTTTTTAGCTTTATTAAGTGTTATTTGGCTTTTAAAACTATTGTAATTTGTTTCCATATCTCCATTAGTTTTTCAGTTCTCATGACTTTATGTTTTCTCTAGTAATCTTGTTATTTCTATCATCTTATACATTGTATACGAAAAGTAGCTTCAATCACATGTTTCTTTCCTTCAAAACTATGTAATTTGTTCCAATATTTTCTTTCATTTTTTTCGTGACTCATACGTTTTCTCTAGTTATCTTATTACTATAATCTTGTACAAAATATACGAAAAGCAGCTTCAAAACTATGTAATTTGTTCCAATATTTTCTTTCATTTTTTTTTCGTGACTCATACTTTTTCTCTAGTTATCTTATTATCCCTATAATCTTGTACAGAATATACGAAATGCAGTTTCGATTAAATACATGTTTCTCTCCTTCAAAACTACCATTTGTTCCAATATTTTATTTTATTTTCTCCGACACTTTTTCTCTAGTTATCTTATTATTCCTATAATCTTGTACAGAATGTGCGAAAGGCAGCTTACCCTGCGAGCAGAGGTTTTTTTTCTGACCCTCCGTGGGCTGGCTGGTCGGGGAGAAAAAAACCTCTGCTCGCAGGGTAAAGGCAGCTTCAATTGCATGTTTCTTTCCCTCAAAACTATGCAATTTGATTTAATATTTTTTTATTTATTTTTTCATGACTTTAATGTTACCCACAGTCTAGTTATCTTATCATTTCTATAAACGTATACAGTCAGTATATACGATAGGCAGCTTGGGYTACACTGTGTTTCTTTTCCTAMAAACTAKCGTAATTTGTTCCAAYATTTTCTTTAATTTTCCGTGACCTATTTTTTCTCTAGTTATCTTATTATTCCTATAAACTAGTACAGTATACACGAACGGCAGCTTAAAATTGCGTGTCCTTTCCTTCAAAACTATTGAATTTGTTTCCATATTTCCTCTAATTATCCTTTTCCTTCCAAACGTAGCTAAGTTGGTAATAGTTACTCTTTGAAAATACTCCCTCCTGCACAGCTCGCGTGCAGCTTACGAGATACCATTATCCCAAACCACGGTAAACACATGCAAAGCTTTCTATTCCAGCTGTGAAATACTAAAGAATTATTTCATCAATAGACGTAATATGAAGAAGCTATCAATAGATACAAGCTCCCCTTGTTTAAAAGACTTCGAAACAAAACAAATTGATGTTTTGTTTGGGAAAAAGTAACTGTGAATTTTATTTGTGGCATTTATTTTTAATTGAAGACGTGGCCAATTAAACAATAAACCGTTTTGTTTAAGAAGAAACTCCTTCAAGTCAATGAATTATTTTGGCAAATAACATACTACGAAAAGACTCTTGATCTCCTCTTGATCGAGGAAATTAGAGTCAGTGTTTTGGCGAACTAAAAAACTGATAAAATAAACCAGAAGAAAGAACGATATTTATCACGCAATTCTTATTATTTTAAGAATGTTTTTAACGAGAGAAATGCCTAGAAATTTTGCAATATCAAAATAAGCAATATCAACTATCAAAGTGCTAGTGTTTTTTGTTTTTTTTTGACTTTGCTAAAAAACGTACTAGCAAACACGGTAAGTGAGCGTTTCACGGATCTGGCCAATTGTTTCATTAAGAAACAGAATTCAAATGTTTGCTAGTGGACAAAAAGGAGAAAGTTCGAGCCCTGAGGAAGATAGAATGTACTGTTAAAGGACAACCGGCGAACACTGAGAATTTTCTTTATTAAGATTTAAGAAGATAGTACAGAGAATTTAGATATTTTAGGCTTGTAATTTTATTTTTTATAAATTTACCAAAAGATTTCCTCTTACTCCCAAGTTACAGTTATAGCGAGTAAATCCTCTTTTTTTTATTTAATTTTTTTTATTACAAAGAGCATTACAAAGTACTTTTTCATCTTCTGCTTCTAAAATTTAATCAAAGATGAGTAAATTACGAAGTTTTTTAATTAATTTAAGACTTAGTTTATATGAAAGAGTCTCACTTATCTAATTGATAATAGCTGGAGCAGGAAAACAATCTAAATATGTTATAAATGATGCTTAAATTATATTTTTGATAACACAACTCTGGCCTGCCAATTTGCCTTTTTTTAACTTTATCTTTTGTCTAAATATTGAAGATTTCCTGGGGCTAAATAGGAAAATCAAAATAACCGCCTATTATGAATAATTAAAGGAGGCGAGGTAAGTTTAAGAGAATTGTCTCGATATTTATTGTYACGACTTAGCCATTTATCGCGGACGGGAAGAACCAATAAATGAAGTAAAACGTCGACAAATGAAATACAAACACCAACATTTCTCGTAGGAATACTTTCAAAGTGTGGTCAAAGAAAACGGCAAACATGCCTAAAGGTTATAAAATTCCGCTGAAGTTGTTTATARAAGTAAGGAAGTGGGCTTTCGTGGAAGGGAAGCTTCCTAATTGGTGTTTATAATGAACTCAGCACGTAATAAATCAAGTCTTGTCAATATAGTACTTTCGTAGTAATCACGGTCTTTACTTTTTTTCTCTCTTTCTCTCGCTCTTTCTTTCTTTCTCTCTCTCTCACTCTTTATTTATTTATTTATTTTCTTTCTTTCCTTCTTTCTCTCTTTCTTTTTCTATTTTTCCTCGTTTATTTCCTCCTCTCTTTCTTACGATTTTTTTTCTTTCTCTCTTTCTTTCTTAATTCTTTTCGGCTCAATCTTTTTTCTTTCTATTTCTCGCTCAATAGAACCTCTTAGCAAAAAGCCCCGTGAATGCAAAACTTAATTAAGATAAAAAACACGAAGTCAAAGGAAGAAAGAAAGATTTACTATTGATATATCGACTTTAACTACCTTTTTGTCATTTTCCTTTATGAAAACACCGATGTCCCTTGTATTTAACCCCAAAAAAACAAAACTTTAATATCAACAAAAGAAAAAAGAGAAAGAAGACGAACCTTTCTAATCAAGATTTGAACTTTATTTTATATTCTAATCTTTTCCTTATTTCGGTTTACCGCAAACACGGATATTTTTTTGTCTAAAACTTTGARAATCTTAAAACAGGAACAAAAAAGGAATTAAATATAATAATGTTGAAATAATACTAGCAATAATAGATTTAGATATAACATTATTCGATGAGGATATTGAAGATAAACTAACACTTATCTAGAATGTTTTTCGTTCCTATTGTGATCTCCAAAATTGACACGAAATAATCAAAAAAAAAAATCATTTTTTTGCCGGCCAAAGGCTTCTTTCTTTCACCCTAAGAAATCAAAAACTTAATTTCAAAAAATAGAATAAAATATCTCTTTTTATTTTTTTATTTCTTTTATTTCTATTTAAGTTTTTTATTTCTTTTCGGACAATTTTCTTTTCTTTTCTTTTTGTTATTTTTTCGCAATTGATCACATTTTAATATTGAGTACTTCAATTTGATTAGATTTAAGGGAAGATTTCAGTTTTAAGAAGCATACGATTGCTTCTAACAACTCATAGTAATAAAATTAGAGATATTTCTAAAGAATTGTTGGTTTAATTTTTTGAAATTTAAAATTTTTTTCCCCTTTTTCTTTTTCTTTTTCTTTTTTAGCTTAAAATGAACAAAAATCGATCGGCATTGGACTAACTGAATGGTTGATAGGCTAGGTTTTTTTGAATCAAATGAAATTTTTCTACCGAGTCGTAAAAACTAGCCAACTTCTTTGCCAAAGAAGATGACAAAAGAGTTGTGGATTTGTTCTAGGTTTTATAGAAAACATGTCGAAAAAATCAACAACAAMAAAATAAAGCGATAGACCTATGTAAATTCCTCAAATCCATGAAAAGCGGCCAAAATTTCATTGTGAATTGAAGGAAAAAATGGATTCGTTCTAACTTATACGAAACACAAAAAATACATTTTATGAAGCAAGCGAAAACTCCGTGGAAAATGCTCTAAATCCTTTTAAAAAATATCAAAATTCTTTGCCTAAGACGTGGACGAAAAAATAGAATCAAGTTCAAGCTGTTAACATAATACCTTGAAAAGACGCAAATTATAGAGCGAAAAATCCCTGGAAAATTTCCTAAATCCATGCGAAAACATAAAATATTAAGTAGATAAAATTACTAGGAGAAAATGATAGAGGTAGGAATGATAACTCCAGAAGTTTTGTTTCAAAATAAAAGAGAGAAAAAGAATGATTACACGATTAAGATTAATSATGTGTCAAAAAATTATGGGAAAATGGCAGATAAATGGCGATGAAAGCCTGTTGCCTCGAGGGCAAAATAGGAGAATTCTTTATTCCAAATTGAATTGTTTGTTTTGTCACAGACAGAGGGAAAAATTGTTGCCATTCCCCGAAGAATCTTTCTTTTTTGTCGATGTTTTTTAAATATTTCTTAAGTTTTTTTTAGGTTTAGTTTGTAAGGTTTTGGGTTCGTGTGAAATCAGGTGTGTCGTGCGTTTCTCTGTGTKTTTGTATTTTATTATTTCGTGTGAAATTTTAATGGATTTTTTTTCTTTTTCTTTTGGGATTGTGAGTTTTTCCGATAATTTTAAGTTTCCTTTGCTCATTCTATTTCGTAAAAATAATTTCAAGACCAAACGCAATTCATTAAAGAGAAGAAAAAAATAATTATGATATTGAATTGAATTGCTTGCCTTAGCAAGTATAGATTTTCATTGTTTTATGATAGACTCAGAATATGTGCACTGATTCGTATAGCTTGATGAAGCTAATCTTAGTAGAGGGTACTTAGGTATACCGTTAGTAAATAGTACTAATTAGTTATACCCAACTACTTACCTGACTACCTACATATTTACCTAATGAAGTCTTACCTAACTACCCACCTACTTGCCAACCCATGCATCTCCCCACTACCCAACCACCTGCTTACCTACCTACCTATCTACCTACCTACCTGCCTACCTATTTACCTATACCTACCTACCTGCTTACCTACCTGCCTGCCTACCTACCCACCTACCCACCTACCTACACACTACACACCTACCTACCTACCTACCCACCTACCTACACACCTACACACCTACCTACCTACCTACCCACCTACCCACCTACCCACCTACCTACCTACCTACCTACCTACCTACCTACCCATCCACCCACTTATCCAGCCACCTTCCTACCTATACTTACCCACCCACCTACGTACCAACCCAACTACCTAGCTATACCTATAGCCATCTACCCACCACAGTACCTACTCAGTACCTTCCTACCTACCTACATAACAACTATTTTACTTTTCTTCTACCTACCACTATTTTAATCAACCATCCTACCACATGATTAACCTACCAATCSACTACACCACCCATCCCACATACCCATTAACCTGTCCACTTAGCAGCAACGTATATTACATCTTCCTACCAATTTTACTGATCTCCATACCCACTCATACTATCTTCCCTACATACATACCTACAATCTCAACCCCAGCTCCCTACCCACCCATCCCTACCARCCTACCCATCAATCACTACCTATATATCTGATTCCTATTTACCACACAACCAACCTTCTCTCCTTAAATTGTTCATCCACGTAATTACTTTAGATCAATTATTCAAAACCAACTAAYCTAACTCAGTAAGTCTACCCACGTTCTATTAATCCATCCATCCATTCTACTGTGAGACATAAAATCATTCCACTCATAAATTTAGGTCTACCGATGTATTTTTTATCATATTTTTGCAAGTATGCAATCCTATCCTTTTCAACCCTTGCAAAATTTGTGCTTTTCTTATCTGACTTATCGAGGATACCGGACTTAGTCATGCTTGTATACGGCAAAATTGATTCAATTAAACGGTCGGAATTTCTTGTTTAATACTGCTTTCTAATATATATATATTTTGGACCACGCCAAATAAAATCAAATTTTCGCAGAACACATCTTTTTAGATTTTTTTTTTTTTTTTTTTTTTTTTTTTTTTTTTTTTTTTTTTTTGAACTATATAGTTTTGTGTATTTCAAATATAAGGATACTTTAACGTTTGATATGTAATATGTTTGATATGTGCGTGTTGAAGTGGTTTGTAGGCGTAGAATAGAAAATAAAAAATAATGAGTTGGCTTAAAACGGGAGCAATCAAGCTCGATTATCAACGGACGTAAGTACTTGGCCCTCTTGATGTTGAAGTGAGCAGGAAGCAGACAATTATGAGGAAAAATATATGGCGTCTGGTTTTGGAAGTCTTTCGTGTGGCGAGGGAGGGATGAATTGAARAATAAATTGTTGGCTGAACGAAAAATCGGTTCTCATAAGTACAATTCATGTTTAATTTCGATTTGAACTTGTAGATTAATTCAAGGGTGTTTGTTAAGGAAGGGGTGGATGACGYACACATTGAGCGCACACTTGCRCACCGTATTACAGTCATACACAAAGTTTGTCGTTTTTCAAACAAAACTTTGCTCCCCCAGGGGCCTGGGTTRATATGAGCCGATACSCATCGCGATTGGTGGATTTCTAGACATGACGTCAGAGCGCAATCTTCGATCTTTTCAATTGGATCACTTTGATAGCCAAACATGTCGGTGGTAATGATAAACAAATAGTTCAAAGAGCACGTGAATGGTTTTCTAAGTCGTGCTAAATTGGATTTCACGGGGATCACTTCCATCATTTGCTTGTGTATGAACTCCATTGGAGACGGAATCRATTCCCTGTCAATTCATCCTCGCCATCCTCCACTCGAACTCATCTGATACTAAGCCTTCAGACTGGCAACATCACTGGACTAGAGTTCACTCCAGACCAAGATATGGATGCGCTTATATTCCAAGGTAATCTTAAGAACGATTGACTTCATGCTGGGTCAAATGTATAAGAGTGTGTTGTCCCCTCCATAGGAGGGCGTCTGTTAGAATGKCTGTTAAACTTTCCCTTAACGAGTGGTAAACCCCTTAGTCATATCAGATGTGCGTGTACTAGTTGCCAACACTGAAAACTCCATCCAATATCGCAGCRTTTCGCGGAATGTCAACACGCCAATTGAACTGTCATTGTGTGAATGAATCTTATGTATAGACAGTGAATTAAGATGGCTTTTTTTTCCTTTCAATTCACGCTTTGTTGCAAACCGTTTCTTTGTCTCCCTTCACGTGTGTGCTCGAGGGAAGTCAGATCCGTATCGAAAACCAGTCAACGAAAAGAGCACACGAAATGGTTTGAAGTGCAGGGACATTACAATCTGGGATTAATTTATCGACCACCCTTTGATCAATTTTCTAGATAACATAAAGGAGGGACTTTTCCAGGGTTTATAATTTACAGCCATAAAAATTCTTCCTTTCCAACCACATTTCAAGTTTTTATGCCAACTTGAAGTTAGTCAGAGCGACACCCCAACGCGTTTAATTTAAGAAGAATGTTAACAGGTTTTCAACGGGAAAACACACACTTTCTTAACAAATGAACTCAATTTTCTTTGTGTGGATTTCATTACAATGCTCTATAAAATAGGTGGGGATATTGTGTCCAGTGCWTATAAAACTGTGTAAACATCAAATTTGGATTTTGCTTGCAGATTTTGCGTCAGTTGCATCCATGACAGGCCAAGGAAAAATAAATCAACTTGGTGGCCTCTTTATTAACGGCAAACCCCTTCCGAAACCTTTGCGTCTTAGAATAATCGAGTTAGCACGGCTAGGAGTACGCCCAAGTGACATTAGTAGACAGCTTCGAGTTTCCCATGGTTGTGTTAGTAAGATTCTTAACAAATATCAAGAAACAGGCTCAGTTGAACCAGGTGCATCTCCCTCGTATAAGAGAAAAGAAATCTCGCAAATAGTTCTGGCCAAGATTGAGGAATACGTTCAAGGCCAGCCGGATATATTCTCATGGGAAGTGAGAGACCGGTTGATACGAGAGAAAGCCTGCTCGAAGCTAACAGTTCCTTCTTTGGAAGCTGTYAGTAAAGTTATTAAGACTTGCGCGAACAAGTTCCATAAAAATGAAGCTGCGAGAAAAAACGGTCTGAGAGGAARCCCTAGTGGGAAGAGTACCAGCGGAGATGCCGACAAAAAAGAGAATCCAAGTTCAACGAGGTTTTCTGGACCGTTTTCAATCTCCAATATTCTTAATCTACCCTCAAGCGATTCCGATGAAGACAAGAGTAAAGTTGAAGGGATTGAAAGCAGTGACGAAGAAAGCGGTAAGTCGAGACGTTTTTATTTGAACTTCGTACAAAGTTTAGGTAGTCGCTAGTGATTCTTTGGATTAYCTATAAACATTACTTTGACATATTAAACAATAAATAAAGACAACGAAACAAAACGGCCCTGAAATCGGTGAATTTGGCTTAAGTTTTTAAAGAGAAGTCGGAACTAAGGAGATATCGTTGGATTAAACGTGTGTTGGATCAGAGATGACGATTTTGACAGTTTGTCTTTGTTATGGATGCTACACCAAAGAGCTAAAACACTTAAGAAAGAGTATTGCATTTATCGATTCAATTGGTTTATTGTAGCAAAGAAACGATCTTTGGACGCGCTCTGACCATGCAAACAACACCATGTAAATAGGTAGATTGGTCGTGGTAAAGTCATTAAGGGCGACCCCTTTGTCTCGTCAACCATTCAAAACTAAAGCTACTTTGAGATTTTTATTCCTTAGTAAGCGAGCAGTGTTTTCGTTTTGTTTTCCTTATCTTTCTAGCCACGATAGATCATTTTGCGGCWTGTGGTGTAGGGGGTGGTGCTTTGAGAACGATTACGCTATTTGATACCAGAGATGGCGTTTTTTCCAACTTTAAAACTTAAGTCTTCAACATCGACAACAAGAGAGAGAAAAAAACTCTTTTCAATACATTAAAAAGAGTCTAAACATTTTTCTTGAACAGAGAACCGTCGTCAAAGGCCTCGGGGTATATTTCGAGAGGCAGGGAAATCTTGCACTTACATTAAGGCAACGCACCGTCCACAGATAGCAATCAGCCACTTCCATATCTCTTGTTTTTAAAGTTTCTTTGTTTCTCCTTTTTCCCCCCGAAGATATTCAAGAGGAAAATCAAAACGGCAAGAGATCAAAGGAAGAAAGAAGAACTGAATTGAGTCTGCCTTCTCACAAACCACGACGGAGCAGAACTCGCTTTACGATGCCGCAGACGGAAGAGTTAGAAAAGGCTTTCCATAAAACTCACTATCCTGATATCTATGCTCGAGAAGAGCTAGCACAACGTCTGGGATTAAGCGAGGCAAGAGTTCAGGTATTCTTTTAACACCGATAAAACTACCAAATTAAAGTATTAGTAAAAAAATGGGGGAAATCTTTTGAAAAGCAAGAGTCGATGAAATCCTAAGTCATTTTCAATATTTGTTTTGCTCTTGAATCGTAATTTAAATTCGTTATCAAAAGAATAACTGATTTTTATGGAGACGTTTATATAGAGAATAAACCTTATAAATAAAGACGAGCGCTGTCTTGAAAATAGGTTGACATAGTTTTACGTAAATACGAATGACAAAAATTTACAATTATAGTATGAAATATCAAACAAAAAAATTGTGATATTGTCACAGTGTCTCAAAACTTTTTTCACGCAAGTTGTATTCACTTTATAGCTACCAGAGAGTGATTGACTTATTTTGAGTGAAAAATTCTCAGACTTTGCTCATCGAAATTAGCGTAACTCGAAGAAGAACTTCAAAGGAGATGATTTCGCTACTGCGGTAAAGGAAGGAAGCGACGTGCACTCGAGTTGAAATAGATGGAGAAGCGAAGAGAAAACCTAGGTGAAATTATCAGTTGGATATTGTATCACTCGAAGCCATTGGCAGTAGGGCTTCTTCCTTTTCGATTTAATAGATCATAATATCGTTAAGTTGTTTGAAAAACGCGAGAAGATTCCTTAGACGAACACCCCATTTAGTCCAGGAGGAACTAAATCCCTGGGTTAAGCTTGGTGAGGACTAATTGGTTTGGCGCAAATCTAGAGGTGATTCAAACACAGATTGCTCGACATTTAGCAAAGTGATTGAAGGACCAACTACGGAGCTCCTGCTACGAACAATCCTAAAAGAACAACTGCAAAGATCATTTAGTATTGTGTAACTGTTTTTTCGATATTTAGTGCTAAAGTCGAAGGAAATTACTTAAACGAAACTGAAATAAGGTTAAAAAAAACTAACTAAAACGAAAAATCATGATTGATTCTTGAGATATAARAGTTTTTTGTTTCAATGTCAAATTAACTCGACTCCAAATTTCTCGTTGATGAAACCCCTCTTTCTTTGTTGAAATATAAAATCTTAGTTATCGAACTTTTATTTCACGTTTCTTAATTCGAATTTAATTCACTCATGAACGCATCATTTCGGAATCGTGTGCGCTCAAGTCTTTGTCTTAAAGTCTCCCTAAAGTCAATCTATTGTTAGCTAKGTTGTATAGTGTCTTTTGAGTCTGTTCTTAAGAGAAACCTCAGATCGGAAGTAGTGAAGTATTTTTTTGTAAATCTTCCTATATTTTTATGCCAATGCTCACGACATATCCGTGAAGATCGCCCGAAGGATTTTTTCTTCACATCTTAATGAAACCCTTTTAAAACTTTTGTTTCCTAGTTAGTTTTTGTCAAAGAAAGTTTTTGGGTAAATGTGTCTTTAATATAGCCTTAAACTGGTAGGAATCCGCCCCTATGCACTCTTAAAGTCACGCCTCGTTTTTACTTCACAATAGAAAAGGTAAATCAACTAGCTTTCTTCACACCTTTACATCAATCACCGACGCTACGTTTCGCTCATTTAACCATCTGATCTCACGAATCTACCATCGCCTAGAGCGAACTCAACAATTTTGATCTGAGCATCAGTTCCGATTTGCTTTGGGCGAAATTACTATGAACCATGAATCGTCAAATCTGAAGTGCTTTACTTTATCTCGAGGAAGCGTTATGGGTGCTCAATCTTTCAGATATCTACAAATATCCTATGTCGGGTCTGACAGTTATCAACAACCTTGAAATAGTTCAGCTTTGAAAATACCCTGATTGAGTTAGATTGTTTTTTTATGGAATAAACTTATTAGATTTAACGTCTATTCCAAAGGTGGCTTTCGRCTTAAGGAAAAAAATTAAGATCGCAAAACATTTAAGAAAAACATCAAAACATCAGCCGTAGTTGAAAACATTTAACTAGAAAATTAACTGAGAAATCTTTGGAAATAATTATGAAGCCTCAATACATTTTAATTTTAAAGTCTTTTTTTTTTTTCACAAATAGAATTTTGTTTTTGACCAAATCAATATTGAAGTAAAATAAAACTAACTTAATTTAAAAAAAGAATTAATAATATTTTTTCATCGTTTTTTTCTTTCTTTCTTTCTTTTATTTTTCGTTTCTTTTCTTTCGTGATTCAAGTCATTATCTGACAAATATTTGGATACGCTTGTCATATGCCTGCAACGCGCCCAGATGAAAATCACTCTACATTCGTACTTGTTTAGAAAATAACTGATGACGATCTTAAGAGCTGCTTCACTTGAGTTCTATTTTTTCCTCTATCTAACTATCCCCCTATCTTCAGGCCAAATTAGTGTGTTGCTTGAGTTGATTATACTACCACATCGCGTACTCTTATCTACAGGGTTGTTTTCGGTTTCTGCCAAGCTATTTCCGCTGTGGTTGATAGAGGCCAGCAGCGACAGAACCATTGTTTCCTGGGATGAAAAATAAGACAACAGAATCGAGAATTTATGAAACTAATCATCATTTGCATGGGACATTTTAATAGCCAACGCATTAAGGCAATTAGGCGACACTTGCGCAAATTGCCAATGGATAGAAAGCAAGGACTAGATTGAGGACGAAGAGCTGGGTTTACAGATGCATTGTGGGATTGGTACGCCAGACAAAGGCACGACACGAACGATTTATCACTTTTGGTTTCATCCGTGCCAAGCTAAATAAACTTACTGAAATTACTACTTTAATCGAAAATAGCTTTATTCGCGTTCATGGCTCCGTCTAGGGCTTTAGTTTAGAATCCTTACACGTTTCCAAAATCCATAAAGCCATTTAATATGACCATACAATAAGGTTTCAAAAGAGATCGGATTAGGAAGCTTTAGTATCTGTCGTACCAACACCTACTCGTAAAAGTTTAATGATTTCTTCAAAAAATTCAAGTATCGCTACATTGTCGCTATTCCACAAATGAAAATGCCATCTAAACTTTAACTTGTGGCAGATAAATTATATTATTGGCTAACCACACCGCAATGACAGTAATTCAACTACTTGAAAAGACCGTCAATCTTCTATCAACGGCTAACACGAAAATAAAATTCCGAAATATTGAACACTCGCTTAACGTACTGATTCAATTTCATTATATTATTGCCCAACAGGCTCATTTCGTTTGTTATCCCATTTTGAAATGTCTTCTTTGTTTCTACATTAATGCCGAATTAAAATATCCTATTTTTTTTCTATTCAAGTTTTAAATCTTTAATATCCAGAGATTAAGGGACTAGTCTTTCTTTAGTTCTACTTTTCTAACTATAGTTACTAACTTTTGTTAGTTCCACTTCTYGCGTTATGGAGCCTTTTCCAACTAATGCAGCAAAACACAGCCTCTTGTGTCTTGTAGAACAATCACYCCTATATTTTCTCTTTTGAGCTTTAGTACTTTCTCTCTTTGATCTTGRACAATATTTCTTTTATTAACTCGTGGTAAATTAAAATAATTCCGAATTGGAATCGTGTGATGAATTCTTTAAGCCTCTTGTATGGAACCCACCTACAAGGGAGGGACACATTTTCTACCACAATGGCCAACGTTTTCAAATATGCTTCTTAATGTGATTTTGCCATGCCTTGAAGAGTTTTCCATGGCACCGTTCATTGTACTAAGGGATACAATACCKAGTTTTCGAAATGTCAGTTGACTAGGCAACACAAGTGAACCGAATGCGGAAACGTGTTGTATCGGGCTTAGAGATAATACCAATATGAAAGCCACAAAGATGTGAGCCCATAGAGGACCGTCGGGTGTAGCTTACAACACAGTACTTTGCTAGATCATTCAAAACCTCCCAGCACTTTGGCTAATTACCCTGCCATTAATTGATTACAGATGCTCTCTCTATATGAGACCGCAATAATAAAAAAATAGAAATTCATTTGTTTTTGTTGCCTGTAATGTTTAGTGTCGGCCAGTTTATTTGAAAATGTTGGGCGGGACCATTGATATCAATGTTCCAAGGCTTTTTTTCTTCTCTGTTCTAGATTTCCATCTGTTTATCCTTCCTCAAAACACAAAAACTCAGATGTCAAAATAAACTTTCCTGAAAACTAAAGCAGTCAATAAATAACTACATGAAGTCCGACGTTCAGTAATTAGAATATTGGATCTGGGAAAGCAATTGGCTTCTTTTGTGAAGCGCGTTTTCGGTCCACGTCTTAAAGCTCAGGAGGTGCACTGGCTAATCATCCCTCTCTCTCTTTCATCACAGCATGTCTTAATCTTACTTGTACATCGAGCCAGATGGCAATTAAGCCACAGAAAAGTTTTGAGTCAGATAAACGGATTTTACTTTTCACGCAACGCTATTATCACTGCACGTCACAGTACTGCATGATGTGTACATCAAAGCTCGAGTTCTTCTTTTCCAGAGTCGTTACAAAATATCTTGTATTTCCTCTGGGTTAGTTCTTGTTACTGTGTTCCATGAATTAGCTCAGATACCCACCCGTCTTCAAAATACTACAGCTTCCTTTGTTGATCATGGCTCTATTGAATCCGCAGACTTCGCCTAATAGAGCCCTTAATTTCCATTCTGAAAACCTTCTCATTAATTACTTTTCTTCAGCTTTGAAAACCTAAAGTTTTGTTTATTTTCTTTCTTTGTTTTTCTTCTCCAGGTCTGGTTTTCGAACCGACGAGCTCGTCTTCGTAAAGAACGACTTTTACCGTGCTCCGATGACTTTTTCTACTCGCCCATGGCACACTATCCTTACGCCCTTCTTCTACAATCCTCTCAATGTCAGCCGCTGACCAGCTCTTTTTCCACCGATTGCATGCCCTTCTACTAACACTTCAACTGCTATCTCAACAACCCAAAATAACTCACAATCATTTATCGATYCAAAGCAATTTTTTTTCGATTTTTTAAATATATACATATTCAATTACAGCTATTTTTGTTTAAGATTACACTAAATTAATTCAATTACACAATCTTTCTTCGGCAACGTCAGTCGAAATTATCGTGAAATTTCAGTTGCTGGACTTTTYATAAAACATGCTAAAAGATCAACTCGAAAACTGCCTTACTTAGGGATAGGTATTGATTTCTGTATCCTATTTATTGTGCCAGTTAAGGGGCGTCTCTCAAGGTAGATTACTGAATGAATGCAAGCTTTAAAAGTAAACTACCTAGCTTCTAAAATCTCTGCGAGTTTTTGAAACACAGCGCGAGGTAAAACACTCAATAACTCCTGCAAGTTTTCGTGCTCATTAGTCCTGAATAAACGTGATACTTCTYTGTGAATCTGATATACTTAATTTCTATTCCACACCATAGGAAATACAGCCAATCAGAATRCAGAAAAGGCGTTGTATATTCGTCGGTATTTCACTYTYCCTTCCCATCATGCGCCGCGCGTTGAAYCTAYGCATTTGTATTTTCTATGGTGTGGGRTGCTTTCTCGTGGCACATCAGCGAGTATGCCCTACTTGTATTTTCTTTCTATAGACAGTCACCTAAAGACTCAAGAAAACTTGTGCTGACTAATATTTAGTACTAATATTTATTAGTAATGATTTTAATCTCACCGAGTTTTAAAGCCCACTRAAGTTCACCAAGGCAAAAGTTCATTCTAGTGCGATTGTCATCACCAAGTTGGGTCGAAATAATAGAAAGTTCCTTCATGAGTTTATTTGTAACGAACCAACTTATGTCACTCTTTCTTATTTTTTGCATTGAAATTTTTTCAAGGTAATTTGGTAAAACTGATTTGGAAACCTAGAACTTTGAGTTAACTTTGAAGCCTAAAAATATGAACAGCTACAGTTATATACTTTATTGAATTTTTCACTATATTATTTTTATATTTTTCGCGTCATTTATGGCTAGAAATTCCCGAGTTTGCACATTCTAGTTTTCTTTGGTGCACGTTAAACACATTATTCAAAGAACTCACTGAAAACCATTGACAACGACTGCATTACATGTTTCTCAGTTCTTACTCAAATTTTAGATTAGATTATGAAAAAATTGCGAGGTTATTCAAAGAACTCACTGAAAACCATTGACCACGACTGCATTACATGTTTCTCAGTTCTTACTCAAATTTTAGATTAGATTGTAAAAAAATTGCGAGGTCGACAATGAACAATATTCCAGAAAATGTCCCTTATTTGATAAAAACACATTGTGGATTCGCCGACACTCCACAAAGTCACTCTCGAAGTGCAGTCCAGGAGATTTATTACGGCTATTGCTATGGTTCATTTTGAATAGCAGAATAAAGAAACGCCGCGTTAAAAAGCCGCTCCCCTTTGTCTGTCTGTCTGTCTTTCTCTCTCTCTTTCTCTCTCCCTCTCTCTCTCTCTCTCCCCCTCCCCCATTCCCCTCTCTCTCTCCCTCTCCTCTCTCTAATATACTTGTATATACAATAATCTACTTGTTTGACGGTGTGTTTTGATAGTAGTAGTAGTAGTTGTCTTAGGTCAGTTGTAACAGATATGCAGATATGACGTGATATTCTTATTAGCAAGTATTAATAGAGCTAATGTGTGAGCTAGAAAAATAAAATATATAAATAAATATGTTTCCAGCTGAGAACAGCTTTCTTACAAACCTACTGCGTTGATAATGTGTTGAGTCTTTAGTACATGTACTATTCCTGAAAGAAAATTGTTTTCTTTTTTCCGCATTGCACTTTGCTCTCCGCGTGAGGAATCTTAATGGGAAGCCATTTCAATGTTGCCGGCATCATTTTGATTCTTTTACTCCTTAGAACAAAATCTTTTTTTCAAAGTTTTGAAGTCTCAATTTTCGTTAAATCTGAAGTAGATAACAGACTCTTGAGCGAAGAAAATTTTAGATTTGCTTTGAAAAAAATTCTTTCCCCAATTTTCGTTAAATTTGTAGAAATCGCTTTGACTTTTGAGAAAAGAAAATTTGAGATTTGCTTTGAAAAAATTGTTTTCAAATTTGTTCTCAACCGAGATTTTGAATCTGAAAGAGTTTTTCTAGAGGGATATCTGATCTGTTCATCCGAAATTTAAATTTCCTTCCTCCTTCGAATAGTTGTATTTTTTATTTTATTCAAATCTTACACATTAAGTATCGTATATAGGATTACAAAGTTAAACAAACCTCTATATAGAATTTCATTTTTTATTTCACTTGATTATGGTTTATCGTTAATTAGTTTTTGATCGTTTGGGCTGGAACAGTTCGCTCTTGACCTAAACGAAAATAAGTTTATTTCTTTCAAATATTGGCAAAAGTCAGTCATTAATTCATTAAGCCCGTTACGAAAGAATTGTTTACTTTTTAATCTACCGCGATTTCTTTTCACTTTATCGTCTTTTACACTAAGTTTTTGTTTGCCAGAGTTTTGGTTCCAGTTTTTGAAATTTCTTTTTTTTTTTTTCAATTTACACTTGAGATAACAATCGGAGAAAACAAGTCAAGCACGTGCTAACTGACAACTTCGATCCTAAAACAAACTTCAAACCGCTAGAAAAATTAGTTGTCAGGTCATCGAAGTTGTTTACTTATGTCCTAAATGGTCCAAGAGAGCCAAGTTCTGAATTGAATGTTTGGATATATTTGGTAAACATTYGCAGAAAACCTCATTTGTGCTTGCCAAAATGGACACACTTGAACGGTTTGTATTTCCACTGAATACTGACACGTGTCAGGTGCGTGGACTGATTTTAGTCAATGAGCGAATAAATGCTTTTTTCGACACTAAAGTGCTCTATTATAATCTTCTTACGCTGATATCTTTGCACAAAGAAACCTAATATTTATGATATTCAACTTCTTTTGGCGTGAAGATCGTTTTTCATGCCAAGCATCTTGTCGCGAATTACCCTGACGAAWCTTCGAACATCAATATTGCAATTGACAACCAATGAAAGCCATTTTTTACTACAGAGCGTTTTAGAACATCATACGTGCCGACGAGAGTCCTAAAGAAACGCTCGGGGCGAAAGCCATTATGAGAGTCCCAATTAATGAATCGACACTCCTCTGTCGTCAACATAGACAACTCATACAACGTCTCCTCAGAACTACTGGATGAACAAAGTGGTTTCRATGTTAAAGTCTAGTGGTTTGGATTCATTAGCAATACAGATAAGGTTTGGGTTAAATCTTATCCATGTTAAGCTAGCGGCGGCTAGACAATARTCTTACATACAGATATTATTGGCTTTCTTATCGGCTTTACGCATGCGCAGTCAGCCTTTGATTTTTTAATCAAAGTAATGTTCACAAACAAACTWAGCGAAAAYAATATGAACCCTGAAACAACCTCTGGGCTGATTTAAGTCAGGACAAAGCTAAGACAGACAGATCGAACCCTGAAACAACCTCTGGGCTGARCTAAGGCAAGGCATGGCTCTCAGAAAAATAACCCTTGAGTCAAGAGATACCAAACAAACTCTCAACAAGTCAAGTTAATAGAGCCTTCTCACTACATATCACCATTTCCTACGGCACGATTAGCTATTCCGAGAGGTTGAGGAGAAAGCCGGGTCAAGTAGGTATTGCAGTGTATTGTGGGACAGTTTCAGGGGACATATTTCCAAGATGGCGTCTATTTTGTCCCCTAAAACAGTCCCACAATGCACTGCAATGCCACCTCGGCCCAGGTTTTCCCTCATACTCGGAATAGCTAATTCTTCCAGAACTTTCGTGCTATGCGCAGCCTATGTGCAACTGACCATGCACTCTAGTCACTCTACTCGCACATCAGTGGTGGCTCTGAAGACTGAAGTTGCGACCACGGCGGAGGGGGCCGCGCGCTGATTACAAGCACACGACACTCGTGCTTCTCTCACCCACATAACAATGATTCCTATAATATCATGTAACTGCGCCTCAATGGCGGCACGTTCCGTTAGTCCTGATGACTTGACTTTAGACACTACGAATTCGTTAACTCTACAAAATTGAATCGATTTACTTGTCAATTTTCCATATTCTCAGTCTGTTTTCATCCGATTTATCATGTAACTATTCTTTATGGTGATCTCCCTAGATGAGCCGTTATGGCTCTTAGAAGAAAATGCGTTAAAGGAATAGAGTAGAATAACATAGAAGACAAGATTGGAACAACGTCTGACTCAGAAAAATCTGAAGCCCCAGACGGGAAATGAGAAATATATGGTTAAATCATTAAGATAAAAATTTAAAAAAAAAAAAAGTAAATTCTAACCTAAGACGAATAAATAATTCTATTATTCACTATATTTTTTTAAACTGATATTGCATGGGGAACTGTCTTTAAAGAAATTTTCGTCAACTGAGTTGAGGTTTATCCAGATTTAGGCAGACACTGCACTCCTGTCTTCTCGCGTCTGATAAGCGCGTAAAACAACACCTAAAAAGTAAATCGAAAATCAATTTGGAAATCATTTCGATAACTATCCATTTAATCGTCTTTCAGTCTAAGTCKACTCGTAATTAAGGTTCCAGAGTGTCTGGTTTTTCGCCTTGTTTTTGATCATTTTTCCTCGACTTGTCGGCATTTTCGAATCCTCACCTACTCGTATATTTCCCGAATTTTTTCAAAATCTATTTTCACTTTCTTGTTTTACATGATACTGAATAACAGCGCTCATTTACACACAAAAAATGACCATCATATACACAAGTATGAGCAGTCCATTTACCACAGTCTTATTAATGCAGAGCATTTTTCTACCTATCAAGACTCTAAGTCCAAACTTGATTGTATTTTTAAAGCCATTACCAACTAGTAAACCGATAAAGCATTAAGACTCGTCCATTGAATAGTTTTAAATCGATAACAGAAAACCGAGGCTAATCCATATAACATCTTCTAAGCCAAACTCTTAAATTGCTATAGAGATGGTTAGTATTCGATTTTAAAGACGAAAATACGAGCAGAAATAATTGATGAGTGACAGGTTAAACTTTTAGAAGCGATGAAGAAAATCAAGTCCATGTTACAGTTTTATTCCTTGTCTCATAAAAAACTAAGCAAATTCCACAACAATAATTGGCTTTTTCCATAACTAATTTTACTCATTCAAAGATAGGTTTTCTGTCTGGTCTTTTCAGAGTCAATAAAGATTGAGGGAGGAAAATGATAGCCATGAGCTTAAGGTACAAGCACATAAATGCTATGAATTTTTGCGCGTTCAGTAATTCTATCCAAATATTCCAGTGCAAAGGAGTTWGTGTAGTCTATTCCTTAGGGCTGTCAGTAAATAGCGCGTTTGCCGTGTTTAAACGTAAGAGGAAAAACTAAAAATGTATTCGGTATTTATACAATTTCTATACCATATATATATTTGGCTTCTAAAAGATTCTCGTTATAATTTACCGCAACGAGTCGAGCTGCAATTCGCTATGTAGTATGGCAGTATGGCAGTATGGCAGTATGGCAGTATGGCAGTATGGCAGTATGGCAGTATGGCAGTATTTACGAGAAAAACTTTCAAGGAACTATACGTCAAAAATTCAAAGAATGATTCAAGGCATAAACGAACGAAAGCCTGACAATGCAATTTCAACCAAAAATTACTGAGTTATATTCTTAAAGAAATAACATAAATATTTAATCTTGCCAAGTCAAAGCCGTCGCATACTTAGTTTGCAAAAGCAGACTACAAAATGCATTAGTGTTGGAAAAATGTTTGGTCGCGTTGGAGGATGATTTGATGATCAACAAACACATAAGCTTGTAAAATGCCAGACCCCAAAGAATGTATGATGCCTTGGGCAATTTTGTTCCCAATTTGTAGTATAAATAACTTTAAAAAAAACAAAATCCCTGATTACCACGCAGCGTGTGAAGAAGGGAAAGTACCTTCCACGCAGAGAGCCAGGCATAATCGGTTCAATCATAATTTACGATTTCAACGAAGTGAATCAGCATGAATCGTTGGTGCGTCTCGAGGGAGTGCTAATTTGTTTATTCTCAAACGTGCAAGAAATAAAGAAGAATTGAAACGTTTTTACCGTGACTGGAAAACCTCCTGGAATCCCGCTCGTTAAATAATGTACTTGCAAATAATGTACTTGTACATTTTTTAAATTCATAAATTAAAGGTTTATTTTAACTTTTTTTTTTCCTTGCTTTTTAAAACCGTTCTTACGCCCAGCTTATTCCTACGAGTTATTAATATAATAACAACGGAAGATTCCCACTCCTACTTGCAAACAAACGCCGCGTTAGRAAAAAACTGTGCTCCAAGAAAAACRATATAATATCATATAAGTCACTAAAACAATTAAGTCTTTCGCACAAATCGTCAAAGAGTTAATGCTTATAAAATGGTTTCATGACAAACTCAATAGCTTTGCGGTATCCAACAGCTCCATTATATCATTTTATTTATTAAGCATTTCACGATGTGAAAAGCCTTGAAGAGGTTCGATAATTGGAAGTAATGTGTTGCTTGTCTGGAACCATTTACACTTTCAATTTAGTAACTCAATCAGGCCTTCCGCTTTGCTTGAACAAAACAAATTAGTGAGGGTTTTTTTAAGGAGGCTGATTACGATTAATGTTTGGAGGAAAAACTTTTATTAGAAGTAGATTAATATTGGTCTATATGTATGTGGACAGATGGAGGGTTGTGTGGGTGTTTGTCTAGTTTGATGGCCGGCTCAATAAACCGAAAGAGATCGAAAGACGTTCACGCGCTGAAAGAAAAAGGCTTCGTCGACAAAATCTGTCCTTCATTTTCTCTTTCTAACCGTTCCCTCTCTCAAACTCTCTCGCTATCTCTCTAGCTCTCTATGCTAAGTAAAACTACTTTAGCTTTCCCTTATTTCAACAGTTTTGTATATTATTGTTTTTAAGATGTTAATTGGGTCAATATACTCACTTAGAAGCGAAAATGGTACTCCCCCTCCCCTCGCAGGCTTACGGTGCTCTCGGCATGCTTATCTCAAACGAGGAAGATACTTTTTATTGGGGGAAGGGCTGAGGGTTCAGAGGGGAGGGGTCTTCAGTAAAAAAAAATTAATTGTATGAAGGGTCAAACCTTTTTAATTTGATGAAAGCTGTTTCCTTGTTTGCTTTATAGGAGGGTCATGAATTTTTTCCTTTTTGAAAGATGGAAACTAGGGCTGCAGACATCTTAAGAAAATTTACTGCGAATCTCAAAACCCTTCTCCCCTCCATGTTTCGTCCCCTAAAACAGTCCTACGATGCACTGCAATGCCCACTCGATCCAGTCTTTCCTTAACTTAGGAACGGCTAAGTTAGAATCAAAACTATTTTACATACGAGATTTTATTTCCAAAACCTTTTTCTCAAATAATGAATATCAATAGAAATAGTAACATTTTTATTGAGAAAGCTATTGTTTTTTTTTTAAATGCGTCTATGGTAAGCTCGATTCATCGTTGATTTGCATACATTTTAATTTCATACAGTGGGTTGCCTGTGGTATGGCCATTCTACTTATTTGAGCTTTAGTGTGTTTTGCTTTAAATTAATACCTATAACTCGTAAAACCACAAAATAGTATCATTGAATCGTATATTCAAAGAATATTTAGCGAACTACTTTATATTCGGAAATTCTAGCTTTCATGATAGCAGCCATGATGGAGATTATAAAAGCCCTCTAACATGGTTCCTTGTTACAAAAATTTACGAACATTCTTCATTTCTAAATTTTAAAAAATCTTACTTTATATCTATATCAAAAATCTGAATTTATTTTAAATTTTTCTAGACACAGGTATTCGTCGAGTTACAAATTCAGTTCAAATTCCAGAAAATGAAATAATAGAATAGAATAGAGTAAATCATTTCATGACTAAAGCGCTATAAATAAGTACAAGCTTTCCTAACGGAAGACAACGAAAAACTGGCAAAGAGCCCATCCAGACGCGAATCTTAGGGCTAATTTCAGAGACAAAAGATGGCGGCATCTTTTCTTCGCTTTAATCAATAAAGCCCCACAATGCCATGCGAGACGAAAACTCGTTACCAGTCTTCCTTTAAACTTCGTAAAAGGAAATCAAGAACTACATAGTGTGCATTGATTGTAAATAATAACAAAAATATCAATCAGTTATTTATCTCTAATAGTTATTAAATTGTAGTGATCTAATAATAAATGTCATATAACTAAAACGTCATTTTAAAAGTGCAAATATAAGACAATTTGTCTCGATAAAATATGTATTGATCGTAAATAATATATGAATATTTATCGCTAATATTTATCAAACTACAAGCATCTAAATTACATGACTAAAACGCCATTTAAAAAATTCATTTAGAAAGCGTTCATTATTTTCTGAGGGGTAGGATAAGGGATACTTAACTTTTTGTTTTTTAAAAGGAAATATTTCCTAACCTTTATATATCCCTTGTCTTCTCAAAATCGCCTGCCTCCTCCTTGCCCTAAATAACGAACGCTCACTAAAGCAGTATTAAAGTGTGACCACTAATTTTAGAAAATATATGAATACTTATCTATCTCTAATATTATTAAAACATTTCCGTGCATAAATATTTTATTAATTTCTTGCACAATTTGTCTAATTTAATTCTCAATGCAGTGGGATTTTCTGTTGCTACCGAAGGACACTTAGCTGCGCATACTGCTTGTGGTCTTGGATATATATTCTTAAGACGAAATTTCATTCATTAGATGAGTAAGATATATATGTATCTGTAAAATAATTGTAGCAAGAACAATTCTCGCACAGCGAGAAAGTTTGTCGAACCGTTAATATTCAGTTGCCATGGTAACGTCATCCCTTCAATTTCAATTACGTTGCCATGGTAAGCATTCTAGTACACAGGTGTGTGGTAGTAGTTTCTGTCCACTGGTACGTAATGTACGTACGTCATTGGAGGGGGGATGAATTGTTGGTGGCATGTGCACATACCCTCGCCGCAGGCTTTCTTCTTCTGGACTTGGTCAACTGTCACTTCGTGTTTGCGCACGCGGGCTCGGCGATTTGAAAACCAGACCTAAAACAGTAATACAGCGGATGCTCTTAGACTCACTTGATATCGGGAGTGCAATTTTTTAAATGCTTAATTACTTACTTGATTAAGCTAAATCTCAAGATAACCTTTTAACTTGGGCATAATTTTTTCCCCATTTCAGACCACGTGTCATTCCCTAGAGTATCATTTCTTTGTTTAACGGTTGCGCAAAAGAAGAGAATTTAGAATATAGAATTAAGAGAATGAAACGTAGTCGCATCATCATTAGCCGATCAGAAACGATGATTTTTAAAATATTTTTAAACAAATTAAAATATTTAAAAATATATATATTAAAATATTGTATAATTGTCTAAAGTACCTGGACTCTTGCTTCAGTCAAGTTCAGTCTGTGCGCGAGTTCTTCCCGCGTGTACACATCCGGGTACTGTGTTTTCAGGAATGCTTTCTCCAGTTCCCCAACCTGTGCAGAGGTGAACTTAGTTCGGCTTCTCCGCTGCTTGCGAGATAACAAGAAGTCTTTGTCATAAAGTGATGGGCTGAAGTCGTTTGAAGACGGGGTCTTGGGAGGCGGTGGAGACTCGGATTCAGAGTCTAAAAGAACGAAATTGATAATAAGACTACTGTAGTATAGAAACTAGCGCATTAATTTTAGCTGAAGGGGTGCTTGCAATATAGAGCTCTTGCAGTCAGTGTTAACCCCATTTCATCGTCAAAATATTCCACAAATACCAACAATAGTATAAAAAATGTACATTTTCAACACTGATGCACTTTGAAATTCCACAGACATTCACTAAAACACGAAAATTCTAAGGCCTAGGGCAAACGTCGAACTTTCCATGCACCGAACTTAATTACATCAAAGAATGCCGCCTCATTATCACCTGATATCCATTGTTTTTAATGAGTTCGGTGCATGGAAAGTTCGACGTTTGCCCTAGGCCTAAACAAAATCAAGACAAACACTGCCATGAGCAACAGAATTTGAACTAACAGAGTATCAAAAATTGCGAAACTGATACTGACGGATGACTTAGTTGAAAATTATTCTGCGGATTTATTTTGCAAAAAAAAATGATGCAAAGTTCTTTATTTATCTCGAACAAGTTTTGGTCTAGAATAGCCGATGGTGTAATGACGCAACTGAAAAGGCGCTACTCACGCAACAGTTATTTAAAACTTACACAGCATGAACAATATAATCGCTAAAAAAAACTTTTATTGATCAAGAAATTAGAAAGCGGCAAACCGTAGGTGTTACTTTATGATACTGCAAATCCAACTTCTTGTGTTTTTTTTTATGGGCAAAATGTGCGAACAATTGTCATAAGAAAAGTCCAGTTTAAAATAACATCTGGGGAAAGATATCGATTTAGCAATGGTTGATATCAGATATAAAAAGCCTTCGTTACTTCCAGTACTTGCACTGATCAATATACATACGAGTCGTATGCATGGTGTAAGTTAAATGAGTTCCGGCAAGAGTTTAACGACTGAAAATATCAGTCTATCGCAGACCTTTTTCACATGGTTTACTTTTGTTTTGGCTTGCTACGCATTTGTTAACGGAAAATTCAGCCCGTTTGAGCTTTTGGCCATGCATATGTTCACGCTTAGGAAACGAGCCAAGCACCGGATTTTCTAACAGTATTTAAACTCAAATAACTTAAAATATTTTGGCTCAAAAATTAATTTAGAAACACTTTTCCGTGTCTTGCTGACACTACAAAACTTCTTGCTACGTCACAGGCACAATTGATCTTGGTTCGTTGATTCCTGAGTATTCACATCCTGTTTTCAAGCCATTTTGAATATAAATCTATCTCTTTAATGATGTTTTAACAAGCTTGTAGGTAAGGGACAAACACTAAAAACATCACTTTTCTTGGATTATAAGTTGTCCTTGGTGTTGAAATAAAGTTTCTTGGGGAATTATTATGACGTATGAGGTTCTGCTCTTTAAAATTAGTTCCATATGATTAAATCAGTTACATAACATTTAGCATGACTTCTTCGAGAGATCGATGGACTCATAAACACTAGATTTTCATTTAAGAAAAAAATATTTTAAAAAGTTTAGTGGGCTGTAAAATAACTTTACTAGTTGAAGGCCAATGAATCATTTGAACTAAGAATGTTGGATTTAATTATAACTGAGTCTTGCAATATTTTCTCTAAGATTTCTAGATTTCCTTCTTAGGAAGAGCTGCGCTGAAATATTGTTGTACTTCAGGCAAAATTACTTTTGTGTGGAAGAACTGAGGGCGTTAAAAAAATAGAAAATACAGGGATTCAAGGTTGTGTATTCTTCCAGGGGTGCATGTTACGTCATAGCCGCCATGTTGTTGTACAATGACAAAGCATTCCTCATTAGCTTCTCTTTTTTAATTTTTTCAATTCAACTTTACCACTATGAGGTAACACTCTCTTAACTCGTTAGATTAACCTGCATGGTGGCTGTTTTGAGTCATGACGTTGTACCCCAAGACTAAATAGAAAACGACAAACGCGGTTCATAATTCCTTGCAGGAAACGTTACATGCCAGTTACAGCGAACAATACAATGAGCACTATCTTTGTAATAAAAGACACGGATGTTGACCAGCAAAAAACTCTTAGCTAGGAAGGCATTCTTTGCCTATTCTTGACCTGCACTAATTTTTTATGCTATAGTTTAGACGTATTTTGTATTAGCGAAATTGTGTATGCCAACACGTTCGTGACTTTAAAAGAAAGCTTCCACATTGTCCAATATATCTGATATATAATATGATACGGAAAATACGTACTTAGATTTAAAATGTTAAGAGAATGATAAATGTTCATACAATATAACAGAGCAATTTTAGATTCAGGAAAGTTAAGAATTTACATGGCTGCATGACGTCATTACCTCGCGAATGCTTTCGCGTCATGTGACCATGAAACGAATCTACGAATCAAGATATGGCGACAACTAAGATCAACCATAAATAATTAACCATTATGTTAAACACGCGTGCACAAAAGCAGTAATCAATGTCTCGTGTGTCTATTAAAAAAAGCGAGTTTCTGAAAGCTAAAATATTTGAGAAAGGAGGGCGTTGAATTAAAATATTTAAGTGTTTTAACTGAGAATCTGTTCTGACATGAATAAAAATGCGGAATTAGAAACTCGAGTGTTTTTATCATGCTTGACTAACACTCTCTTACCCTTGAAGTACAAAAGTTAATATCAGAATCTGCAAAGTAGATTACATTTCTTTTGAAAATACACAAAAATTTTGGTCGAGAAAATAAAAAAGTCGAACTAAGGATCGTTGTTTTGCTTATTCGTCTTCTCTTCGCGTGACTACATACGGGCTCCTTATTTTGTTACTGCGGAACTGCGGAGTATTCATTAATAATCATTGTTTTCCCGTCGGCTATGGATATTGAACTGACTTCTGTTATATTCTGATGTCAATAATGGTCCATTTCCTAACAAATGAGTATTGAAAATCGTCTCCTCGGCTTGTTAATTATAGAATGAAATATTTAGCTTCGCTCCTATTAACTGCTCTGGTGGCGTTTAGCGATGTTTGAATTGATACACGGTGTAAGTTACACGGTCACTAATAACCGATTCCTATGGTGCGTGTTTATAAGCAAACAAAAAATTTATCGGAAATGCCATTACAAAACAAAGTGCGAATCGCTTTTGATGTACGCCATACTTGACACTCGAACCCTTCAACTTTTGTCCTTACTTTCAAGAAAGTTACTCCTAAAAAACTGATTAAATCGAGTTCCTCTCTGGGCAAGACTTCTTACATTTTTGTTTGATTCTTCAGTTATTACATAATAATGCATGTGCTAGTTGAGGCGTAAAGCCGGAAAAAATCAACGACATCCTCGCGCACTTCATCATGCCACACAGAATATGAAGGAAAAAAAGATATTATAAACATAGTAATGAGAGGTGTCAAGAAGCGTAAAATAAGCAATAGCACGGTTATTTTTTATTAAGTATGAGTATGCAAACCTTCAGCTTTGATTTTCACGTCAGAATCCTGGTGTTTGTTTTGCGGTAGGCTCAGAATGTTGTAGATGGAGTACGAGCTTTCAAAAGATGAACTTGAACTTTTTCGGCTGCTGTCGCTTGTTGCAATTTCTTCTTTTTCATCACTGCTACTTGAAGATGAGCTTTCTCTTCTGTCCCTACTCCCAGCATCACTCGACACTTCTTTATCCTTTCTAGCAATCCTCGATTTCAGTACCTGACTGATGTCTCCAAGTGATGGAACCGTTAACCTGTTGCAGACACCTTCCCGAATAAGCCTTTCACGAACCTCGCAGGAGAACATTCCAGGATTCTCAATGCAGTATTCTTCAATCTTTCGCCCGATGTCTGGAGTCACATCTCTTGGCTTGCTAGGACTTGAAGAAGCACCTGGTTCAATGGAGCCCGTCTCTTGATAACGACAAAGAATTTTACTGACGCAGCCATGAGATACTCTGAGCTTCCTGCTGATGTCCGAGGGACGGACACCCAGTTGTGCAAGCTCGATTATCCTGACTCGTAACATCTTTGGAAGAGGTCTACCATTGATGAAGACTCCTCCTAATTGATTTACTTTACCCTGACCTGTAGAATCAACCAAACAAACAATGACTAGAAAATAATAGTAAAAAACATGGTAATTTATTGCCTATCTTAACTTGGGCAAATATTTTCTATTGAAAAATACAGGGAAATTGTGAAGATATGAAGAAAAATGGATAAGCTGAAAGAGTTCCTTTGTTGTCATCTATTGTTCGTTTTGATACACTCAGTGACAATTCATTAATATTCTTCACAGTGGCATACGAACTGCAGTACCAAAGGTATTTATTTGTTTAACGTTGGTGTTAGTCAAGACTAAATATTTTTTCAAGACGTAAACAAAGAAACCAAGCATCTTGAAACTTGTGCAAGTGTTAGTGAATTCAGAGCCACCGGAAACTGTCTTCAAGTTCTCGTTTAAGATTTTTATACAATTTGATAGGAAACCGGTTTGTGACTAGATTTTACTAGACAGATCTCAGACATATAGCCGTGTAGTTCCAATTGCTTGATCAATGGAGAGTAGTTAATACAGAAACTTTGAGGATAGGGAAATACTTGATCGAAGTGTAGCCTACTGAACACGGAAATCGAGCAAGGCACCAATTGCAAAGACTTGAAAATCTTTAATCCCAAATATGTCTCATTAACTAAAGAGAATTCAAACCACGCACTGTGTAATTGTCTATTTAGTAACTACATCTTACCTCCAAGATAACCATCCATAATGAATACTCCTGAGCTTCAGAGAGGATCTTTGATTTATTAGATGAAGCACTAGTTGAGAAGACCCAACCACTTGACAAGCTTTAACGAGCACAGCTCTACTAAATTGAAAATGCTCTCTCATACGCTTTGTTGAAGTTGACTTAGACAATCATGACGTATCTTCCATTTTTGGTGAGAAAATCGATTAGGCAACGTAAACTTTCCATGATATTGGCCCTTATAGAGGCAAGCCTTGTCCTATAAACATCAAGCTTTAAGCAAGATTGTTTGTAAAGAATTTGCCTCGGAGGCACCTATCGCGTGACGAGAGATAATTCATTTAGTTTGCCAGACAGACGCAAGCGAGTCACTATACAAAAGGCTTGTTTAATGCTTGCTTGATGCACCTGGGGTGGCAAAGATATATTCCTGGTGGTTCTGGCGTAGAGTTCGGGTGAAGATGTTTGTAAGGATGAGATATTGCGTGCCCTTGGCAGCCTTTCTTCGTGACATGAATGACTAGCTCAAAACGAGTACTTCATACACGGTCTGGTAGCTGCGTGTGGCCTTTGAAGCGAACGATTCAAAAGTTAATTAATACTTAAATTTGAGCAATTTTCCCTGAAACCATAGTTTTACAGAGAGAGCACATCCTTAGCTTAAATGAAGTTTATCACTTTCTTTCTTTCTTTCTTTCTTTCTTTCATTCTTGGCTTTTCATACAATTCTCTCCTCTCTTGTCCTCGTGCATTCTTCTTCTCAATGGTACACCTGTACGCCTTCAATACACTTACCAAGTAGTAAGAAAATCTCGCCAAGGTGACTTCACTCTACATTTTAATTTCAAACAATCAAATAAAATTTCAATAACGACTCTTGTAACCATTCTCATGGATCGGAGAAGAAAATAAGCCATTTATAATGATGAAAAGTTATAGTAGAAAGATAATGATAATTTAATGAGCATACCCAATGCAGAAACTTGGATTGAAAAGCTCGACCTTAGTTAATGGAGCGGAATGGTTGGGAAACCTATTGTTCTAGGTCTTCGTTCAACTTGATCCATTGTTATACAAATGGTTTCCATTGTTGACGTTGACCGTGCACAGAGAAGAAAAAATGGTTCTGTACTTTGTTCATAGTATTAGAGAATATGGAATTTTTTTCCCTATAAACTCGTTCTAAAATAGTTATTATTTGTTTATCGAAAAAGGAAATTGCCTTTTTTCATGCTTTCTTACTTATCATCTAGTAATTTAACTGTATCTGCGCGGAAATATTTATCCGCATACTTTGTGTTCATCGGATGAAAGTTTTGACTTTTAATAAGGAAAGCAGTATTTACAGCGATACTTGATTTGAAGATGAGAATATGTGGACCGCGTAGCACAAGATATAGAAATATAGATAAGATATAGTGCTTGGGAACGAGGTTATTCCGGGCGAAAGACCCTTGGAATTAAATTCGGAAAAATTAATTTCCGACCTTGCTTTCTTTCGCCCGGAATAACCTCGTTCCCATATTCCTATATTTCTATATTTCTATATCTTCAGATACTTGATTTGGTTCGCCAGTGTGCAGTTGCAGTGTGCAGGTTCGGCCAGTATCACGGTTCAATCTCAAACGCAAAACAATTTCTTTATTCTATGGAGTTTCCAAACCATTTCACTCCATTAACTGTTTACACCTATTTTCAAAATGACGCGACCTGTGTAGTTGGCACTTGAAAGGTATTTATTGTGTTTTGGCTGCCGTCAATCAAACTTCGCACGATTAGTTTTCATTCAAAAAAGCCCAAAATGATCTTAAAGTTTCAAACGTTTGAATATTACAGAAAGAAAAACAAGTTTGCTTCGTTTCAGAATTAACAAAGCAAGGATTTCGCAAGAGCAAGCCGTTTTCATATTTTATGGACGGCAGCCCAAACAAAGAAAACGAGACGAGTCTTGAGCAGCGCCGGTCGCGTAATTCTAAAAATATAGGTGTAATATATACCACTTATATATAGCGACGATGAAGTAGCTTGCTAACAAAGAACATCTCTTCATCGAGAGGTTTTTCATTAAAAGTAATTCTAGAGCATTCCATTCGGCTTTATTTAGAGCCCAAATATATATTTTCAACGATATGCGAAATAGGAATAAGCATAAGAAGTCCCTTATCGATGAAAACTTATTTGGATTTATTTAACAGTTTAATATTCTACAGGAGCACACAACGACGAATTTCACTGTTTTGCGATCGAATTGTTACAAAAAGTATTTAAAGGTTTAATTCTTTTATGTTTGAGTAAAAAAAAGTATTGCTGTGAAAGAGTCACCCCCTCCGCGTTCCCAGCGGGATTATAATGAAACTAAACAACCAGCAAAAAGGATAAGTTGCATGCCAGCCAGCAAATACTGAGACTAAGAGACCTTTGCCAGCCAAGGGCTCGCCCTCGTAACGTGTTCAAGCCAGCCAGCGTTCTAATCGTAATATTTCCTGCTGCCAGCAACTGTATTAATACAATAATTTGATAATTGAAAGGTGAACCTTGATTCTACCATCTCCCAGGAGGCCTTTGGCTTCACTGACTATTGTAATGTTGTAAACGAATTTATAATATGAAATTACGGAGGACGTACTGTATGCTTTGTCACACAAAATAAATAATTATTGTTCAAAATCAATTCTATACTTAGCCGCCTTTCAAAATTGATGGAATTGGCGCCATTTCGTTTGTTTGTATTTTCCAGTTTGCCGGCTCGCGAGCGCCAAACCTGTTTTTCATTGAATTATTCAGTTGGAGCTGTTCTTAATAGTGTCGGTTCTACTAAGATTTTGTGACTTCGACAGATGCAGTGAAAACTATACATTCTCTTATGGCAATATCTAGCTTTTAATACTCGCGCTGTTGCGAAAAAAATACGAAGAAAATAATTGCATAAGTATATGAAAACCAAATTAAAAAAATACATTTTATGCGTTGATTTCACAGATGAAAGAGTTTCAAATAGTATAATATAAAGAGTTAATGAATTTCCGGATTATTTTCTTCGATAAAAATTTCAATTGAATGGAGTGTGTCACACGACACACAAAAACCAATGAAAACTTTTTATATGAAACAATTTTACGGCATGCATACAATCAAATACCGCGAGGACTTTGGTAACGGATGAACGAATGTCCTTCAAATTCATCGTACAGGAATAACGCTATTTCCTTTTGCTGAAGTTTCCTTACGCCGTGTCTTCAAGCATTTGTTTCACACTGCTATGTTTACCGGGGTGTCGTAGTTGTCATTACTTTTACTGCTATCTCAAATGCAAGACTGCCTCAACTGGAAACCAATTTTTTTAACGGACGAATTGAAAACAAAGTTTTACGAACTAAATTATAAGCTTTGTTACTGTGACAGGCATGTGGAGCTTGTGTATATATTTTTCTAAACACCGTATCGAAATGGCTTTGTTGATTTTCGGCAAGTTGAAAAAAGTTGTACCACGAATTAAAACACTTTGTGAGCATTCAAATTTACTCTAATAAGGTTTCTTGAATTTGAAATTAAGCGATATTAATAACCACTATTTATAAATACTTCATTTGTTATCATATGGTAAAATATTGTCCTTCCTTTTGGTGTTTGGTAGAACTTAAATCTTGAAATCCCATAGTGCATTGTGGTCATGATTTAGTCTAGGGATGATGCAATAATTACAGTAGTGGAGTTGGGATCTACAAGGCTATAAATAGCTTTTTCTTAGATACATATTCCATTCTTCCTTTGGCTTTACTGAAAACTAAACAAGTTATAAAACTACTTTAATTAGCTACTTTCATTGCTCAGCTATTTTAAGCAAGCATGTCTGAATGGCTAGAAGAAAGGTCCGTGAAAAGACCAGGGACGACCATGTCTGGCATGTAATGGTGCTGGAATCTCTGACAGCAAAGGTAAGAATCGTCTGTGTCTCGTACCTCCTGGACCTTCCTGGACGTTTGTCTGTTTTTAGCTCGCCTGTTTGAAAACCAGACCTGAGAAAAAAACATGGTTCAAAGTGTAAATCCTCAAAAATCATCTTGAGCTTGCTCAAGTTGAATAGCTCTTTCCTTGAGTGATGACCGCGAAACAATGGCTCCAATCATTCAAGGTTGACCACATTTGCTATATTTCATCAAGTCCAACCTCGACTTGCTGCCATGTGTTGTGATCGCTCAAGCAAAATCGGGAAAGGTATATATATATATATATATATATTTAATGTAAGCTAGGCGGAGCTTGGTGTGTATATAGCACATCCTTCCCTCCCTCCCTCGCTCCTTCCCTCTCTCCCTCCCTCCATCTCTCCATTCTTTACTTCCATTTTATCCATCAATTTCTCCATCCATCCCTGCATTCATCCTTTACCAACTCATCCATTTTGCATTTCAAGTAGATAATAGTACGGATACAACGTTTACCCTGATTCTTGTTTCATTAACGTCTAAATCTCTTGATAATTTTTGTCGTTCGGGAAGTCCTGGGTACTGGTTACGCATAAACTCTTCTTGAAGAATCTGGATCTGTTGTCTTGTAAAGTGAGATCGCTGGCTTTGTTTTCGTAGTGTTTGCGGTGCTTCTCTTTCCGTGTCCGCGGACGTTTGTTCAAGAGTTGACGATTCCTGAGGATCTGAAATATTTCGCGTAAAAATTGTTTAAAAATATCGAATAAGGAATCGAACGGAAAAGAGGAATTAATGGCTTTTTCGAAGTTTGGGCTCCCTGTGGAATCAGTGGATTATTGTATTTAAATTTCGGCTTCCAAATTTACCATTTTTTATGCAAGTAAAGTTCGTTTCAATAAGTTTAAAAGGAAAATGGCGGCATATAGTCTAACCTATTTGTTATACCTTATTTATTGCACTCATGATAGGCTTTCAAGCAAAGAGTTCTCGATACAAAACCGGAAGTAGCTTCAATATAGTTCTACTTCCGTTTTTCGTAAGTCACATGACATTTTCGAGGGAGTTTTGAATAAAATGGCGGACGAGTCTCGTGCACTTTGTCAAGCAAGCAAAAACCATCAAAAATGTAGAGTTATTTTGGGGTTTTCCGTTGAAATTAGAACGCCAATCTTTTTAAGACACCAAAAGGTAAGTAATTAGTACGATTTTGCCTGTCAAAAAGTTATAAATTCGTTGCTAAAATACATTTTGAATTTTCCATTCAACTAACTCAGGTCAGTAAACCTACTCGCGCGATGTAGTTGAATGAAAAAAATAAAACTATACTTTAAGCTTAAATATTGGTATATTTGAATTCCTCTGCCATATCCTTTCTAACTTATTCCTGTTGGCCTTTTGTTTTCTATCTTGGACAATGGAAAATAGGCGACTGAAAGTCTGCAACATAAGATGAAGAAACTGTTGTACTTCTACTCTATCATTGTTTTTGCATAAAGTACTTTCGAGGTAAGGTTTTGACAGTATTTGCAAACATTTGGTATTTATATCATTATTTATGAGGATATTTTATTGATGGGGACAGATCAAATCCTTTCTTAATAATAAACTAATAAATTAGGCAACCTGCGCTTCTAAAAAATCCTTTACGAGAGGAGTAGGGGAAGGGAAATGATCCACTCCCCCTCCCCCCTAAGTACTTCAAAATTATTATATTACAATTGCACGTTGGGAATATATATTTTTATAACGTTCCTTTAGTTTTACTTTGACGAGGACGGAATCAAAAATTAATGCATTAATATAATGATAATACTGAAAACCATCATTACTATATTTTAGTCTACATACCAGATTCAACTTCATTATTCGGTGTTACAGCAGCTATTGTCTTTTCTTTACTCTCCTTATTATTTAATATTTCATCGATGGAATGTTTATAAGGTTTTGACATCACCCTGTTCGTTTCGCTTCGTTCTTCCCGAAAGTGTCTCGATCTTTTATCGATTACCTTTTCTCTCCTCCAAGTCGAGCTTCGGCACGCATCGTTCGTAAGGCGGCTTCGATCGATATTTTTCGGGCCTACACATTTTAGAGGCGGAGGGCAGTCCAAATCTCTTGTGCTTGGTAGCTCGCGGTGAATTGGAGAGACTTTACAGGGTCTTATGTCGCTCTCCTTCAATAGGAACTTAGACCGATCCAAACCTGCAAACCCTGGCTCCATCGAGCCTGTTTTCTTGTATTTAGCCAAAAGTTTGCTGATACATCCATGTGTGATTTTCATTTGACGGCTTATATCACATGGTCTGACTCCTAGGCGGGCAAATTGGAGGATCTGCATCCTGATATCTTGAGGGAGGGGTTTGCCGTTGACGTATCGTCCACCAAGCTGATTGACTCTCCAGGGATCTGGAAATAAATAGAAAACGGGTGAGGTCCAGGAAAGAGTTATCTGCAAAGAAAGGGATGATTTTTGTTCTTTATGGGTCCTTGTAAATGAAGACGCGAGACGCGATGGAAGGGGGGAGGGGTAGTACTTCGACTTACATAGTCCCTCTATTAACTATGCGTAGTCTACACAGGGATGTAACGTTGGATAAGTAGGGTTTTACTGCTGTACGTGTTGGCTGTCTTCAGGGACAGCGGAGCTGTAGGGTACATTTACAGAAATAAAAATAGTACAATCATATACTGAAATATCAAATTTAATTAAATTTTAAATTATCAGTGCACTAAGATATTCACTTATTTGTTCTGAGACTTGATTTTTACTTAGCGATTTCCTATACGCAAGAGATCAGAATGTTTTTTCCAAAGAGCATTAAATTTAGAAATTTAATTGTAGTTTATTTTTCATCACTTTTGTGACATTTCTTTAAAGTTATGTTTTCACAAGTGTCAGGTTGTCAAGATTAAGAGCACGAATGAATAACAGATCTATTTTCTTCTATCTTCAAGTCTTTAGCAATACAAGAGTTGAATGATCTAATCAAAGACCGCTTTAAAATCAAGTTCGGTGGAAAATTTCGTCGAGAAAATTTTAGGTTTTTTTTTTTTGTCTAGTAATTAATTGTTGCTGAATGTAGTCAAAACTGAGCTTTATAAAACTTTGTTTTGAATTTCTTTTTATGATTTATTTGGACGCCAAAGTTGTTTATTGATAAATTATATCGCGACTCTTCGCCTATTCATTTCTCTAAATTTATTTAATCTATCTGTGTCAGTAATTCAGTCTTTATCATTAATTTGTTCGTCTTCCTGTTGATATGTTTCTTGATATTGTTTGAGATAAATATGTCCTTTAGAAAATTACGATTTAAAAAAATCACGAGTCTTTGCTTTTTGTTCACTTGGTGTCTTGAGATTGGTATTCTACATAGATAAGTTCTACACAAACGTTCGAACAGTTGTTAAATGTTTACTCTATTCTCGTTTGCCTTGGAAATCTTTAATGCGATCTAGATATTCTTATTCTTAAACTCACTTATTTTTAGTGACCTCTATTCTTTTGGAAGAAAATGTGTCTTTCAATTATGTATTTTTTCTTTTCTCGCTTTGTGTCATGAGCTGGAAGTAGTTCTGTTCAGGTTGAACACTTGTTTACCGTCTATTTCCATACATATTTTTTATCCGCAATCTTATCCCTTCATAAAGTCTATACTGGCTGTATACTTTAGCCTTTAGGAAAATATTTTCCCTCTTCAAATCTCACTGCTTTCAGTTCTTTATCAAGTTTATGTTGTGATATGAAAATAATCAATTGTGTTCAGGTTAAACAGTTATATACTCTATTTCTATCTAACATGAAATTTTTATCAACAATGCTATTCTTAAACTCGATTGCCTATTCTTTAGGAAAAAAATTTCCTTCAAATCTCACTTTTATAGTTTTTCCCGATTTGTTTTTTGAGTTGAAAATAATTGTGCTCAGGTTAAACAGTTATATACTTTAGTCTATCTACCATGAAATTTTTATCAGCAATGCTATTCTTAAACTCGATTGTCTATTCTTTAGGGAAAAAATTTTCCTTCAAAATTCACTTTTTTATTTTCACCAATTTGTTTTTTTGAGTTGAAAATAATCGTGCTCAGAAAACAGTCATATACTCTAGTATATCTACCATGAAATTTTTATCAGTAATGCTATTCTTAAACTATATTGTCTATTCTTTAGGGAAAAGTTTTTTCCTTCAAAATTCACTAGTTTATTTTTCCAATTTGTTTTTTGAGTTAAACAGTTATATACTCTATTTTTATGTACCATGAAATGTTTATCAGCAATGCTATTCATAATCTCTTTGAAAGATAGTAAAACACCTTATGTTTTCTCTAAACAAATGTTTCGGATATTTTACTCTATTCAATCCAACCACTTGACAATTCATTCAATATTTTCAATGTAGTACTTACAACATTGTGTATTCTTCCAGCATATCTCATAAACCTCGCTAGGCGAAATCATATCGAGCCTTTAAATCTAACTCCTTCAGCGAAAAATAAAACCAAAATCCTAGTTGTTGCCGGCCCCTTTTTTCATGTACTGAAGGCGTGGTCCTTTGTCTATTGACAGAACGTCTGACAAACAACATCTTGTTTAAAAACAATTTCTGCGCATGCGTACCAGTCTACCCACGTTTTCCCCCATCATCTCCAACTGTGAAGCATTGAGTTGGTTTTGTTAACGATATCATCCAAAAGTCGATTACTTACTTACTTTACAACCTGTTTGCGTGTGATGAGCTGTTTTTGCTCATTGACTAAGTGCTAACAATTAATGGCGTATTAGACTGTGTGACCTCCGGTACAAAGTCGTTTAACTAATACTCCTGGACCAGCTAGCTCAAGTATTTAGTAGGTGGTGTTTCTAATGACTCTGAAGTCAGTCACGGTGCACTTTTCCGACACTTTTGTGATGGATCTCATGTCTTTATGGTTTTGTTTAAGCCTTTGTGCGCCTCATCCATAAAGCTGTCCACTCGAATAAGAAAGGTGGAAAAATGCAAAGATGAGGTACAAAAGATTTTGCTTTAAGACAATAGCATCAAAGCTGTGCGGAGTTTTTCCTAAGGGGACAGTGAGGCTGCCTTTTTAGCGGCCTATTTGCGGACCTTTTAACGCATTTTGCACGGCTGTTTTTTATGTGATTGAAATGTAAGCCTTTAAAAACCTTACAAGGTCTCTTTAAAAAGTCCTGCTTTCTTTAACCGAAATAATAGATGTCCGACGAAGGTGTAGATAAGTCGGTCTAGAGCTAAACCAGTCTTCAATGTTAAGATTAGATTTCTTTAAAACAGAGGGGAGTGTTTTATAGCGCTTTGTTTTCTTGGTCTCTTTTTCATTAATGTACCAGAGTGAGCGTTCTCATATTCCTCTTAAATGGAAAACCATATGATTTAGAAAACGGCTGCAAGTTGTTTTCTATTTGAAGTTTTTCGAAACTCTCTCAGGTCAGCAATTTTGGGAATCCCTAATCGATCTGTTTTTAACCCTGCTACATTATTTTCATCTATTCTTTATAGAGAGCGAAATCTTCATCATCGAAGTAGCAAAAATGTATTCGAACTCAAACCTGCTGCAAAAAATTATATGAATTGAAAAACTCTCAGCTTAGCCAGCCATTTTAGGAATCCTTAATCAATCTTTTTCTTATCCTGCAAGAATAATGGTTTCATTAAAAGGGCAAAGACATTGCTGAAAAAGGGAAAACCTTTTTCTTTCAAAACGGGCTGCCAAAATATTTCTACGATAAAGTCAGTCAAAACTCTCTCAGTACAGCTTAATATTTTAGGATATTCTTCTAACTTGTTTATCCTACTAGGGCGTTTCGTCGTTTCATTAATAGTGCAGAGACAGGGATGTCGTCTTCATTGAAATAGGAAGACTCTTCCCACTTATAGGAATGTCAGCACCATATTGACTAAGCATCTCAGTTGGGGGGGTTTTAAGCCCCCCATTTGCTTTTCTGTTTTGATCTGAACCAAACAAAAAAAAAAAAAAAAAAAAAAAAGGAAAAGGTTTAATCTTAAAATACTTTTATAATTCTGTTTAATCTAGCTTATATATTTCATCATTTAAAGACTAACTTTTGATTTTAAAACTTGGGTCAATAAATCCAGAAACGTTCTTTGACTTTCAGATCCGATTTTATTCCTGTGTGTTAATAAATCAAAAGCCAATTTAAGTCTATACGTAATACACTGTAATACTGAATGATACATGCGTTTTTACTTATCTTATTGTGCGCGTTATTGTCTACAGTTATCTAAAGAAAGATAGATGTTAAGGTCCTTAAAGTGTATTAAACACAATCTTTGCTATTTAGCTTTCGTAGATTTAAATTCGTTAAGGTAAGCACCCGGTGGACAAATCCATCTAAGGTTACTCCTCTTTACAACGCAGCCTTGTGAGAAAAACATCCACACGATGTCAAAAACTAAAATGTCAAATAACTTCTTCGTATATATTCAAAATAGGTTGTTGTATTAGATATTAGGAACCCGTCGCACGGGACTGCCAAACTACGGCGTATAATTTGATTACATATGCATAATCAAAGTTATTTCCCAAAGATGTTTATTTATAATTCTATAGGAATGGTTAGTAAAACAGTTTCAGATAAGAAAATAAGTGCTGAAAAAAAACTTTTATGTATGCATAGTGGGTTGAACGATTTCTCCCGGCGTTCCGGGTATCAATATGCGAGTAAATGTTTGTCTTTCTAACGCTTGATTTGAGAGTCTAGATTTTCATTGATTCACGCACTGCGAAAACCTACATGCCATCAATCTATTCATACACTTTTGTAGTTTGAATTCGAACAACTATGAGCCTAATTTGAGCCTAGTAAAATAGATTCATTATGCTATATTTGGGATTGACGAGAACCTCTTCTGAAACTAAACTTCAGTTTGAAGCAGTTACTATTTTACCCGTTGAGATGAAGAGGTATTCAAGATTGACAACATTTAATCAACAGCAGTAATGCTTTTGCACTTCTTAATGGATTATTTCATTCCGTATTAATTTTCTTTAATGTCAGTGAGCATAGCTATCTAATTTCTTTATGGCTCTTACCTAATGATTTCACTGTAGAGTGGATGGCTGGGATATTTTACGAAGGGAGAAAAATGGAAGGAAGAAATAAGAGAAAGGGATGATGAAAGGAAATGAACAAAGAAGAAGTGAAAAAAAAATGGGGCAAGAAAGAGAGGGAAAAAATTAAAGAGAAGAAAGAAAATTAAAGACTTGAAAAAAAGAAGGAATGAACAAAAAAGAAAAAGAAAATTGAGACGAAATAAAAAGTAAAAAAGGATAGAAAAAGAAAAGAAAACAACTGAAAAGAGAAATAGTTCTTCTATAGGTTTTTTAGTAGAAAACAAAAATCAAGTGTGGTAGGTTTAACCATAAAAACTTAAAATATCCATGAAAATACCGCAAATCTCAACCACCTTTACTTTTACTGAAAACAACTGAGCATCGACTGAGCTCGCCAAAACATCCCTCGCTATGAATCATGGTATAGAACAGAAGGCCATTAATAGAATGATCGGAGAGTCTAACTTGACCTTAACGAAGATCCCTGTGGTGCTGTGTTGCCAGCGAGGCTGGTTGTAAAAGAGTTTCAAACTGTGTATCCCCTTGTAACCACTTGACTAATTCAACTAAATTACCAATCAAGCCACAATAAATCCAAGCATATTACCGATATTAGAATCTACTTTGTCATAATGGAATTAACCGTACATAAACTTGATCAATTGCTGAAGAACACTCTTGAGTTGTGAGCAGTTTTGTCTTGTCTTGAGAATCTAAGATTTGATCTTGAGGACCGTTTTAGAACATCGCCAAGCTAGTGCAAGCCATAAGCGTAGAGCAGGATGAGAGAGAAAACATATATTTATTGTTAATGGAGTTAATTGGTTATTATTTTTATTTCTATCTTTGGAAAGAAATTGGAACGCAAAAGTAATGGCATGATGATAAAACAAGGGAATTGAGAAAGAAAACCTAATTGAACTTTGGAAATAAAAATATGATTAAATTAAGTAAACCTGTAAAATAATAAAAAATATATGTAACAAAATCATGTTTTGAAATAAGATTATGAATGGAAAATAAAGGTGGAAATAAAAATAAAAGTAAATAAGTAACAAGAGGTAGAAATAATGGTGCTAAAATAAGATTTAAAGTTCATTAAAACACTTGTAAAAAGAGGAAAAACTTCGGTAATAAACACAGTTTATCGTGCTCATTTGTTTATACATTATCGGTGATATTTTTTTTATTGAGTTGTCTTCACAAAGTCTACTCAATTACTCATTCATAAATTAAATTAATAGGTTTCCACTCTTATTTCCACGATTTTGTGAATTGTCTTTGCAGTTTTTAAGTGTTATTATAAAATAGAGGTTTTTAAACCTTAAAAGTTAAGCCTGGTTTCCACGTGTGCTTTAACGTGTTTTTTCCCGTGTGGATTTCTTTCTTTCTTTCAAGATAAAGTAATTCCATTTCAACCAAAAAAATATCACGGTAAAAACTCTCAAATAAAGTGAGAAAAACTAAAAACAAAACAAAACAACAACAAAACAACAACGACAACAACAACAAACAAACAAACAAACAAGCAAAAAAAAAAGATGGAAACGTGTATACAGTAAAAAGTAAAGAGAAAAGCATAAGAATGTAGGTTTTGTAAAATACGCTAAAAACCTAAAAGAAATCAAGGGAAAAGGGATTCAAGGGTGGTGTAGCAGCAGTGCACTCGCCCTTCACCCCTGGGGTATCGGGTTTGATTCCTGTACTCGGCATCACGTGTGAGTAAAGTTTGTTAGGTCTCTCCCTTGATTCGAGGGTTTTCTTCCTTGCACATGCAAAACACAACGCCAGAACACGCTTAAAATCTGATTAGATCTGTAAGTTAGCCTTACACTGACTTTGATCAGCAGCAGCCGTGCCCTGACTCAGATCATCCCAGAGGTTGTTTCATCAGAATTCGATCTCTGCGTCAGCCGTGCCCTGACTTTGATGAGCGCAGTCGAGGTTGTTTTAGGGTTCTATCTATGAGTTAGCCTTGCACTGACTTAGATCAATCCAGAGGTTGTTTCAGGGTTTGATCTGTGAGTTAGCCGTGCCCTGACTTAGATCAGCCCAGAGGTTGTTTCAGGATTCAATCTGTGAGTACCATGCCCTGACTTTGATAAGCCCAAAGGTTTATCCAGGGTTCGATCTCTGAGTCAGCCGTGCCCTGACTTTGATCAGCCAAGAGGTTGTCGGCAGAGTATGATAAAGGACAATCGAAGAAAACTTTTAAGCTATATGGAAACCTGGCTAAACTGAATAAGGATATTTTTGGATGGATAGTCTAAGAGTATTTTTTAATACTTGACCGAATTTTTAACTCGTGCGCGTTCTTGATATTCTTCATATTTTTGTATCACAAGTGAAAAAATTCCGCGTCGCTTCTTGACATCCTCTACTAATCATGAAAAAAAAACCTTGCATAGTTGCGAGGAAGCGGAAAATAAAAATAGGATAGTTTTTTTTACAAAAGAGAAAAAATACCAAGGATGATTTGATCTCAAATTATGTGTATTTACACCGGATACAAAAATCCTCAAGGCAATATAGGTTTTGCACCATCACGTGACAGCAGCAGCGAGGGCAGGAACAATACAATCGTTTTACATGAGAAAGAATTCAATTCCCGATGGGAAAAGGGATCTTATATATTGTTCTGACATCCAACCACAAGAAGCCTAAGCAGTATTATGGGATGTGCACGTGATGGTGCAAAACCTCTACCAAATTCTTTTTTAACCAGGCAAATAGTTATTTTAAGGTTGAGGGAAGAACTGGGTCGACTTGGCATTGCAGTGCATTGTGTGGCTGTTTTAGAGAACATATAGACCCCTTGCGGCATGTTGGAATGCAGCTCGATCTGGAGGACGTGGGGGGGGGGGGGGGGGGGGGGGGGGGGGGGGGGGATCAGGTGAAATTGAGGGTGGATCGGGAAAATTTGGTAGGAAAAAGGGGGGGATGAGAAATTTTTATCAGAAAAATGAGGGGGGTGGTGCACGATTGTTGACAGAAGCTACAAGCCTTGCTTCGGGGGGTTCGTATTTTTTTGCATGACTTTAAGGGGGTGTTAAGAATTGGCCTGGACATTTCAAATTTTCACCTGTACCCCCTCTGCAATACATTATGAACGCAGCCTAACAACAGGTTTCTAATTCTCATGAGATTGAAATTCTTTTGTTTTGTCCTCCGAATTGAGCTGCTTTGACGGCCCATACAAGTTGTGTATTTCCAAGATAGGGGCTAGTTCATCAACAGCCCCAATATGCACTGCAATCGACCCAGTTTTTTTCTCAACCTCGTATGGCTAATAGAAAATATCCTTGGTTTAGTGCATGAGACGTCTTAGCAGCCATGTTGGATGACCTGAAAAAAAGACCTGGGCTTGCTTGTGGTTTCATTTAAAAATGATGATAAAAATAAACCCAAATGTCTATAATGACATCACACTCATTAGCATACTAGAAGTATAAACCTTGATATCTCCAAGATGCATCACTCAAATCATATAAAAATATTTTACTATTTAACTTTTAACTTCATGTAGAATCAATGCTGAAAACATTGAGTTAGGGGTCATAGGTACTTTAACCAACATGGTAGTCTCCTCCACAGCGGTCATTAGTTTCGGTCCCAGATCCTCACAGGCCCTGTCCGAGGGACTGGGACCGATACTAATGACGGCTGCAGAGGAGAATACTAACAAGGTGGCCATGTCTATTGATTTTCATTCTCTTGGGAATAATTTTAAATCAGTAACAAGTACGTACATCTTTCCAAACTTTGTAGGTTTTATTTATGGTGTAGGAAACATTACTTTAAATATTTTATTATCCTTTCTTCAAATTATAAAACTATCTATCAATATTGTTTCAGTTTTTTAAATTATAGTAAAGGCAGTGCAAAGTGTATTTAATTAACTTATTTAAGTAGAATTGTAAATCTGAAAAGTCAAAAAACTGAGATCGGAAAGGATTATGGATAGATTTTTCACAGCAATGTTTCGATTCGGCTTGATAACTATTAATGGATCTTTTACCAGTTACAGTTTAACCTCCTGAGAGCATCCTTAAACTACAGCCTGTATCAAAGAGCTTTCAGCTTTCCCATGATCCTCAACGGTCTGAGCTTTGAAGGTTTTTTGATTACTAACCTTATTATTCGATTACACGTTACGTCATTGCCATTTAACAAAAAAAGTCTCATAAGCATCCATTGTTAACCATGTTAGCCATGGTTTTGTCTTTTGACTCTTTTGGGAATGCTTTTAATACTTCAATTATACTACATATATTATATAGAATATATATTATTAAGAAAATTAGTCTTAAAACAATATTTTTACGTATGTGTAATAATGGTGACTGCATGGAAGTGGTACTTCATGAAAGAAAATTTCAAAAGCTATCATTAGATTATAATTAAGAAAGAGTTATGAAAAAAAGATATATGAAAAATCTTATTCGTAAAATAACCTACCGTATGTTACCGTTACTGTATTATATTATGTACTGTGATTTGATTGGCTGATGCGAATGAGAACATATTGAGATATATATTGGGATACCATTTCAATGCATGACGTAACGTGTACGTGCTTTAAAGGCTTTTTGCTAAGCCTCCAATAAGATGAAATAGAAACCGTAAAATATTCAAAAAGCGACCAACAAAAAAGACAACATTTTGCATTTTAGGGCTGTTTTATGGAACGAAGTAGACGCCATATTAGAAATGTGTCCCTTAAAGCAACCCCACAATGCACTGCAGTGCCAACTTGACCCAGTTTTTCCCTCAACCTCGGAAAGGCTAATTAAATAAACACTTGCGACAACTAGCGGTAGGTACATTAGCGGAAAATTAATCTGAATCCAATGACGTGTTTTACACGATGAAATATTCCCTTTCACAGTTACGTCCGCCATCTTGAAAGGTAGCCGTGGCTTTGCATCGAAGCAAGACGAACGGTGAGCTTGCAATGATAGAAACATGTGAATAATTGCCCAAGGTGTTAAAAAAAGGTCTCTATCATTGCAAGCTCACCAATCGTCTCGCTTCGATGCAAAGGCACGGCTATCTTTCAAGATGGCGCGGGAGGGAACTGTGAAGGGGACTATTGGTGTCCTTCAATAGTCACAGTCACACGACGCATTATCTCGTTGATGCGTACATCATGATGATGTAGCGCGTAGAAGTTGCAACGTGTTTCTGTTCCTTTGATATAAAGGAATATTATCCCCATGGCAACGACGGATACGGGGAAACCATATGATGGAGTGATGGTAATTTCAAATGCATGTACGAAGCTGTCTTATTATGTTAATGTAAAGGGCGATACCCTGATGGAAAGAATAGCCTTGAAGGGCCAGCGCTTATCTGAAGGGGGAACATAGCTGGTTTATTGATGTGGTTGCAAGTACAAGAGTGACAGCCTTTATTGTTTGTTGTTGATGGATATGGCAGCGAATGGTAGGAGTGGATTGTTGGTGAAACTCTACTCCTGACCTTTGCTCTTCGGTTGGAAAACCAAACCTATTTAGATAAAAAAGAAAACAGTCTTCAACAAATGTCACTCGATAGACTTAGTGAGTGAGTCCGCCCTAGCCAGATAGTCCGTCGGTCTGTTGGTCAGTCACTCAGACAGTCATTCAGTCATTCAGTCATTCAGTCGGTCAGTCGGTCAGTC